CATTCCTGATCAAACTATGGAAAGATTAGAACTTGATGTCCAAGGGCCAATCAATATGAAAAAAGGAAGTGATCGTGTTATCATTGTTATTTGTGATTGTTTATCAAGATACGTATGCAAAGATTTATAAAAATCAAAAGGCAAAAACGGTAATAACTTTCCTCCAGGACTTCTTCCGTTTATTCGGTGTTCCTAAAGTTATTCAAACAGATCGTGGTCGCAATTTTCTGTCTCATGAATGTGAAGACTATCTCTCATCTTTATCGATAAAGCATCAAGTTTCCACTGCTTATCATCCTCAGTCACAAGGACTCGTCGAAAGGACAAATCGAACTATTGGTGAAAGGTTAAGAATTTATGTTCTTTCCAATGGTTACAAAGGTATCGAATCTGAGTTAGACACTATGGTTTATTCCATTAATGCTAGTGTTCATAAGATAACCAGATATCCTCCTCACTTCTTAATGTTTGAAATTGGCCTTCTAAACCCATTGACAATCATCTTTCATTAGAACCAATGTCAATCTCAATCGATGAAGCAAGAAAGCTCAAAGAGAGATTAATGCAAAATCAAATCAATTACGTTGAGAAGCAACGATTAATTGAGAAACCTCATCCTTATAAAATCGGCGATAAAGTCTCAATAAAGAGAGAAGCCCCTCATCCTGGTTCTGGTAAAAAGTTATCATCTAAATATTCTGGTCCTTATATCATCAAAGATATCATCAAAGGAAGTTTATTAATCGAAAATGAAAAAACTAAAGAGATAACTTCAGTTAACCTTCAACGAACTAAACCCTTTTATGAAGATTCCAAAGATTTTCCTTTATTGGAAATTTCTAAAGAAACCAAAGAATCTCCTTCGTTGGATGTAATTGATTCCAAAGATTCGTCTTCTTCATCTTCTTCCTCAGAAAAGGAAAGTTCAGAAAATTCTTCTTCAGATGATTCAGAAAAATCTCATGAAATTAATCAACTCAAAAAATTAAGAAATCGATCAAAAATCAAACCTCCCGCTCGATATGGTCAGTGCCTCTATCTTTATGGTTCACTTAACAACCGTTGCTATTCAACCATTAAGCGCGCACAGGAAGTCACCATTTTGTTTAATCATCGAGCTAATGAAAGCCAAAAGTCAATTAGTCATATAAAAGACAATCAAATTAGTTTAATTAATCACTTTAATTTTGGTTTTATTCCCATTAACTTTATCATCTCTTCAAGTGTTCTCTTAATCAACTTAAAATTTCTCTGTGAATCGTTTTTTCTAAATCGTTTTTTCATCATGTCTCATGAAGACCCATCTTCAGTTCAAGCTTTTATGAGCTTCCAACCAAAAAGTGATGAAAATCTCTCAGCCTTTTATGAAGTTTTAAAAGAAAAAATCAAATTGAATGTTGCTGATTCACCTCAAATTAGAAAAGCTGATTACACCGATGCCCATAAAGGTTTCAGAGCTGCTAAAGTTTTCCATTCAAATCTATTTGATTTCGTTGAAAAAATCCTTTGTCATTTATGTGAACAGATTTGTGCTGAACCTTCAGTTTGTTCTGGTTGTCACCGATGGTACTGTTTCGAATGTGCTTCATGGCTCAACCGATTTCCAGAAAGAATCAACATCATTAAGCCAAAATTGGAAAATGAATTCTTATGTATCACTGCCTCTTGCCTTCGACGTGTAGCTTATGAAAGCTTCTTTCCTTCATTCGGTAAACCAAATGGTTCAACAAATTTTTCCCTTTATGGAGAATGTAAATTTGAATGTCGTCGAAAATTCTGTTTCTTCAGATCAACCTCCGACCATATCATTCTTCATGAAAAGAAATGTTTCCGAGGCGATTGGGACTCTAATTATGATACAAATTTATCGCTCAACTTCAATAAAGGACCAGTGCGAAAAAGTCTCGAGGAATCTACTTGCTCCTTAGCCGATATTCTTGTTCCTCAACATCGTGCCCTTACTTCATGTGCCTCATCTATTCCTGCTTATTGGAATCAACGTTTGAAGTTTACAATTTTCCGTTCTCATAAAGAGAAACCTGATGATCTTCCTCCATCTACATTACGATTACAAGCCAATATTAGAGACAATTTTGGTGAAAATGAAAGAAAAATTAATGACCCATACAGACCAGTTTATGATGGTGAACGATGGGCTCAAGCTATTGGATTTGCACCAACTTCAGGACCTAAAGCCCTTTGGGATCATCCTACTCATTCATTTCAACGCAAACCAAGAGCTTTCCAATACCAAAAATTTCCCTCGATTACTTTACAATGGATTCAGAAAAATCGTAAAGATAAATGCCCTGAATGGGATCGTGCTCTCTCAATTACTTCTGCCTCTTCAACTACATCCGTTTATTCAGATAGTGAAGAAAAACCATTCATCTTTATTGATCCTCTTTTCATGGTTCCAGAAGCTGAGCAAGAAGATTATCACCAAGAACTTTTTACTTATGAAAGTATTGTAACCCCTGATAATGAAATCAAAACCGATGAAAATGCTTCATCCGAGAGGAAATATCGTAACAATGTGAAAAGACTTGCTTTTCTAAAGCGATGGCAATGTCGTCCTAACCCTGAATTTCCCTCAATCTCATCAACCGTCCTCAATGATATCATCGCCCGTTCCGAAATTCACCCTGAAAAAGAGCGAACAATCAGTGTTCATGCTACTTATTGTGTTGGAACTAATGGTAAAAATCTACCGATTTGGGTCATCATCATCAATGGTAACCATGAAGTTATATATGAGACCTTCATTCGATATCCAAAAAATATCATAGCGAATATGAATAGCCAATTTAATGGTTTAACCTATGATGATATCAAGAGATCTAAGAGTTTAATCTCAGCCCGTGATCAAGTAACTAAATACTTCGTGCCTCTAAACAAATCATCGGATCAAGTTTATTTTATTATGCAAAACTTTGTTACACCAATGATGAGATAAATCGTCTTCGTCCAAAGTTCCGAGATATGATCTATTATTACCTCCTTATCTCACTAATCCAATGTCTTCATATTATATCTTTCTCATCTTCCGAGGTTATGTTATAAAACCAATTCACTCTCCAGCTATTGAAGCCCGCTGCCCTTAATCTCTACTTCTTCGAATGGGAAAGAATCGAGGAATTGCTACTGCCACTGGTGGAATTCACAACAAAAGTTGTACCAGCAATCAAGATGTCGCAGCCATGTTACTCCTATTCGAAAGTAATGTTGATAAAAACATCGCTCAATGGCCAAAAGAATGGAATGATACAACTTATCGGTATAAACCAATTCGAATCTCTGATCGATCGGAACAAGTTGATCCAAATTTCGTTCTCTTAGAAAAGATTGATAAAGAAAAAATCTATGAGCCTTTATCGACTATTCCTGAAGAAGATTCACCATCTCATCATTCAGATGATGTTCCTTTATTGGATTCCAATGGTGATAAAACTGAAACTGTCCCTATTCAAGCTGATGAAAGCTTCATTCAAGAAGATGAAAGTGATAGTGCCTCCGATTCAAATTCATGTGCTGATGGAACTTTATCTCCTCATACCCTGAAAATCAACTATCTCCCACTTCATCTCTTCCTTCTCCTTTTAAGAGTCCAGGAACAGAATCAGCTCTGAAAAATTGAGATCCATTCTTAATCAAAACTGGGGATATGTAAGGTATTGCCTTAAGAACCTCAATTTTCGCGCTTCTTCATTAATCACTACCTCTAATTGTCGCCTTTGTTGTTGTCAATCACCTTTCATTTGGTTTAAAAGACAACACATTTTGCCATAAAGCAACAATTAGTGAATCTTTGTTTTAATTACTTTTAAGTTCCTAATTTGTTCAACTTTATAAGTCATTCCAATTAGTCCTCATTACCTGTTTCTACCTAATTGTCACTTATAAAAGTTCTTGTAACCTCTTAGTTACTATTACCCTTCAATTAACCTTTCCAAGTTACTCATCAAACATTAATACTGACCATTATTCAATAGTTAATAAAAGCTAAATTTAAGAGCTTATAAAAGCCAATGGTCCACCTTTATTGATAGACCTTAATTAGTGGGTGAATAAAACACCAGTGAATTAGTTGATTGGGACAAAACGGACCATAGAGAGTTTTGTTCGGTACTCTGACCCTTGTCCACTCTAAAACCCGACACAATGATCAAATCGCTTTAGCTGAATCATTTGTGTATCTAAATTTAACATTCAACTAAGTTTACGCTTTTTCTTGGCTAATTAATAAACATGCTCATCGATATTGTGATCAGCAATTACTCTCAAACTTTACCACAACAATTACAACGAAGACTAATTGTGAGTCAATGGCTTATTAATCAGCATAAAGCATGTTGCCAATGGTGAAAAATAATAACAATAGAGTTTACATTCCAAACAATTAAATTATCCTCATTTGCATATATGAGAGTTGCATTGATGATGCTCAACTATTTTCAATCCAAATTTAATTTCGTTTTTAAAAGTAACGAGAAAATCTCATTGCAAATTTAACCTTGTAAACGAGAAAACATCCTACCGTTAACAATATTATTAAGAGTGATAAGGTTACACTAATCGAGATTGGAATTAAAAAAAACCAATTGCAATTGTAATTGTAATGGAAACCTAATTGTGTATAGTAGATGCATGGATAATTGTAATTGTTTGGATGGATTTGTCTTTAGATATAACAAAAGTGTGTAAAAAGTGTAAATTTATTACTTTTTTTCATCGACATGTAAAAAAGATGAAGACAAAAAACAAACAGAAACATCCTGATTACTGAAGGAAATGGTTAGAATCACAATTATATTTGATTGTCATCATTTTATATAATAGTTTGTCTAACCAAATCCATAGTAATGCTTTTGTAATGATGAAACTAGAAACATTTAACTTAGTCTCTTATTAGATGATCTTGACCTGATTAGATGATGAGGATAATGTTTACATTGATTAAATCTTTCATCATCAATAAGATCATGTATTAGATTAATTACCTTTCTGAGAAGCATGTTTATCTAGGACTTCCTTGTGATCATAACTTAAAGCCGATTTATCAACTCGATCTTTTTGTACACCAAATTTACCACCAAAGCCTGTTGAATAGTCCTTTTGGGAGGCATGTTTAGATAATTTCTCTTGATATTCCCAGCCAACAGCTGATTTATCGACACGATCACTGTCCACACCGAATTTACCTCCGAATCCTTTCTTGGAATCAGTTTGAGAGCCATGAATGAATTCCTCTTTAAACTTTTGATGTTCAATTTCAACCTTCTTTTGAAGCTCATTGACACTGAGAGAGAGAAAGAGAGAGAGAGAAAGAGTAAAATAAATATCAGTCAATTGATTTAAGAAAAGAAAAATGTTCCAATTGTTATAATTATATAAATTAGTACAATTAAGGTCAATTCGTAACTTACTCTAAAGCACCGACGACTCTTCGGGAGCCTGAGACCGTTTTGGATCCCCAACGTTGCTCCTCTTCTGATACATCGTTCTGAATAACAATTAACACGAATAATTTGATGAAAGAAATTAAATATAATTAGCTAATCATTTATGATGGGTTAATAGTTTTAGTAGTTGTTGTTGTTGTTATTGTAACATGATTAGTCTTGAATGAATTAACTAAAAGTTAATTGATTGAATTGATGGTTATAATTGGGGTCCGAAATTAGCATACAATTAAAGTTGATCAATTCAATGCTGTTCAAATCAATCTAATTTCAATAACGATCAGTAAATTATTATTATAAGTATAAATTGATAGATATGAAAAAAAACAACAATCAAAAAGCATCAAGATCAACCTGACAAATATAAAGTAACCTTCATTGTAACAATAATAATAATAATCATTATGATGATGATAACAATTACAATTAACGATCAAATAATAAAGGTCACAAGGAAGATAATAATTTAGATACATTTTGATTATAATAAATCACAATCAATGAGATGATCTATTAATAGTTAATGGACAAACATTTAAATATACAAACAAGATCAATATTTAAATCTATCAAATTGTTACATTTGATTTTAGTTTGTCTATTTAACCTGATTTAAAGTAAATCACTGAATAAAAGTAATTGAATTGACTTTTAATTAGTCCAAAATTTGTCGTGAATGTAGAGTAGTGAAAAAGCAAGAAAAAAAAAACAAACACAATTGATGAGGAAAACAATTAATCACTTGTATGAAACTTTATCTTAAATGATAATCAAATGATTGTAAGTGTTGCATTGATAATCAACTGTAATTACAAAGAAATTGATTAACCAGTTGAACCAATTAATTGAATCAATTGAAAGCCAATTACAATCATTTTGAGATGTTATCAAAAAGCAATTAAATTGATGATTACCTTTCAATGCCAATTTGTATTTAGTTATTTGATTCGCTACAATAACAATTAAGACAAATTATTCAACGTAAACCATAAGAGTAAGTGAGAGTATGGATTAAGTTATTTGAAATATTTTCCTCGTTTTATTTCTCAATCTAGTCGAATATACAATTTCTTAATCACAATGAGTCAGTTTGGAACTAGAAGATTAAAAGTATCAAGTATCAATTCAATTCTAACCATGTAATGAACGAGAAAAAAAACAAGATGAGATATTTAATCAAGGCAATTACAAGAGAGAATGAAACAGGAAAAGGATAGAAAAAGATAAAAAGAGAGAGAGAGAGAGGAACAATGGTTTAAATTCATTAGGAATATACGACAATTAAGAGTTTGCCTAGAGGGTTTTCAAGGTTCAGGATAATTTTTTTTTCTCCGAAAAAAAGGAGAAAAAAAATCAAGAAGGAAAACTAGTTGGATGAAGAGTTCAAACAGGAGAAGAGAAAAAAAATGAAAGGTTGATGTTGATTATCACCTAACATTACTTTGGATGAGTGATGATGGGAAGGGTAATAAAAAAAAGGGTAAAATTAACAGAAAATCAGACTAAAAGAATCAGAATAATCAGTTACTCTGAATGGAAAAAGAATAGAATAGAATTAAAAAAAGAGAATTAAATTCTTACCACAAAATCGGGATCAGTTTCCCAATCATCAGAATCTTCTGATTTAACCACTCGCTTGGAGACATTGTGAGTTGTTGTTGATCGCCAAGTAACTGACATAATTACAATTAATTAATATTCACCTAAGGATAAATAACAACTGAGATCAGTGAGATAATAACTGGTTAACAGAAAATTCTGATTGTTGGATGATTCATCTAGAAGAGTAAAAATTAAACTGAAAAAAAGTCAAACATTTAACAACAAGTATCAAGATCCAAGTAAATATCGAATCTCAAGAGTAACTGGAAACTAAGAGGAGAAAGAGAAAAAGAAAGAGAAACGTTCACATAACAATACGGATTGGATCATATTAACAATAGAATCCAAGAATATCTGCTCGATGAATAGTCCACCTAAGGAGAGTTTATTTTCACAAATACAACAGAAATAATTAAATTCCAAACGATTAGAACTCATTAATTGTATTAATCAGATTCCAATGAGAAAATTGACTTGGTTGAAAAATTTCACAATTAAAAGAATAGAAAAAAAATTAAATTCCAACTGAGATTAATCAAAATTTGTTTCGAATCCAAAAATGTAAACAAAAAAAAAGAATTTAAAGGGACCGTTGATAAATTTAGTTCTTTTAAATTCTCAAGTTGAATTGTTGAGAAAGAGAGAGAAATTAATTTTCATTTTGATTATCATTGAATCGGTGGAAAATTAATTAGAGAAAAGAAAATTAATTGATTCAATTTTTTTCCTTGCTAATCAATGAAAAAGATCTGAAAGAATTTCTGTCCACTGGTTTAGTTTCTCTTCTACTGTTATTCTGATTTTCTTTTCTCTTTCTTTCTCTTTCTCTTTCTATCATCACCATTTTCACTCTCACTTTGAGTCTCTCTCAATCTCTTTCCACTCCTTGTGTTTGTCTCATGATAATTTCTTAAATTGTCTTTAATCACGCTACTTATCAGATTGTCTTTATAACCAAATCAATGACGATCATCACACTAACTAACTGGTGAATTGTCGTTTGTTTTGTTTCTTTGGTTTCTCTGTCTCCGTGTTTGTAATTTCAATTATTTTGATCAACAAAAAAATTCTATTCTCTTTTTGTTTCTATTGGTAAGTCTCTTGTTTACCATTTCTTCATTTTTCTTTCTATTCTCTTGCTCTAATACAGAGAAACACATTGTCTCCGGTCTCTTACTTTCTCTTTCTTTCTTATTTATACAATCTCTCTCTCTCTCTCTCTTTCTGTCTCTGTCTCTGTCTGACCGACAAAACGAGAAGAAAATATTTAATTTCTGTGTTTTGATTTCTTAATTTCCCTTTTCCTCATAGGTATAATTTCGTAATTTATTGATTGTCACCCTCATGCTCTCCAAAGCAGCTATTGGAACCGTTAACCGGATCTTCTCATCTTTAATCTTCTTCTTATGTCTCTATCGAAGCCATCAGTATATTCCATCAGGTTATGGACCAATTAATTTCTTAACACTTTGGAATATTGTAAGTCAATCATTGATTTACCTCATTGTTTTTCTCTACATTTGATTACATTGATGTTTCTCCTTCTATGTTGTAATCTTTTCTTTTCCTCTAACCTTTTCCATTTCCTTTTCAATTTCTCTCTATCTCTCTCCACTTTCAATGTTTATCACCAAATCTAAAGGTGATTTTTAAATTATTTCACCTCTATTCTGATGAGAGAAAATATTGATTTATCTTTGTATTCTTTTGGATTTAACTGTGTACATATTTCTGTTTCTCTATTTGATTTCTCTTTTTTTTTCCTCGATTTTCTGTCAACAGTCAGCGGCATTATTATTCTATGCTATGTCACTACTTTGCCATTTTCTACCCTACCTGAGGAGTGGACGTGAACAAAATTTAATCCGTGATTTAATTTACTTTGGCATAATATTTCCCATTGGAACAACGGTTTTTTCATTTTTTTGGGGTCTCACCTTTCTCAATCCAACCTTTATCCTTAGCGATGCAGTGAGATTACCCGGTTGGGCAAATCATGCCATGCACACATGGATATTACCTGCAGCAATAATTGAAGGAATATGTTTCTACCATTCCAAACCATCTTCATCACAGGGTCGTGCTCTCACTGTTTCCTTTTTAGCAGCTTATTGTGGTTTCACTTTGGTCATGGGTTTAGTTTTTAACAAGTGGCCTTATCCGTTTCTCCTAAAGTTGACCATTCCCTACAGACTATTATTCGCCATCATTCCTATGAGCTGTTCCCTACTCTTTTATACTCTTGGTGAAAAATTGAATTCCTTATTTTGGAAGCCAGTGAAAATTCAGACAAGTTGAAAATCTTGCGAAAAACAATCTATTCTCATAGAGTTTCTTTATGTCCACATTCAAATACATACAAACAAACAAAAAACACCCACATCCAAATACACACACACTCACAACCCAAAAGATTTTGATACACATACAAATTAAGTGAAAATTGGCCACCGGTTAAATGTTTTAATTGGAAGGACATTTCCCCTCAAGTCACAGCTAATTTTCATCTACAAGTCTGATGGATCCATTTTTTTTTCTCCAACAAAAATGATCACTTCAAATACTAAGCTTTAGTTACCTATGTTAACTCTGTCCTTTTCACCTTTCACCCTGTTTACCTTTACCTTTTTCCTCCCGATTCTCATCTTAAACTCTTTCCCTTCGTTCGTTGGCTTACATTTTAGTTACAACTTTCGTTGCGCATAAAAAAAATTTGTACATATTGCTCAATAATTAAGTTTGGTGAAGGTTAAATTATGTTAAATGGTGTTAGCCCGATGATCACTATGGAAAATCTTTGAGATTTATTGAAAGTGATCAACAACAAAACGAAACGTTCAAAAAGCGGAATCTTCACATTTTCATCTTAAAACAAAACCAATTGCTCACACAAAGATAACCCAACATAGTTTATCCTTCCAACTAACAATTAACTTCATCATTAATGTTAATCCGCTTGGACGATTGACCACCAATGTTAATGATATTCCATTCAATCAAATTGATCAATATCATCATCAATTTGTCGCCACTAATCAACTAACAGTGATGTGTGTGTTTCATTAGCCACTGTCAGAACTTTTCTCAAGCCCATCGTCATCCTGATTACCAGCCATCTAATAGTAATGGAGAAAGAAAGAGAATCACCTTTATTGGAATCACCTCGATCATAGCAACAATTTACATAGATAAACTAAAAGAAGACAAAAAAAAATATCCATCATTAATTGATAATATTCAAGGACCCACTCACTCATTAAATAACATCAACAGCAAACAAGCAACAACAAGGAAACTTTTTGTTTTATTTCTCATCTTGGTTACCAAAGTCATCATGGAGACACAGCAACAATAATAGCAACAAATCAACAAATAGTCATTCTAACAATTTATTTACAACTAATTATATAATTAGTCCCAATAATTTAGCTCCTTCTTGATTGTTTTTTTTCTGTGATAATCTCAGTTAATTGTTTGTTTCTTTTCGATTAACGATTAGTCTAACTGACTTAATAATCAGAAAAAGAAACCAACGAAATTGATGTTTACAGAAAAAAAAGAAACAGTGATCTTCAGATTAATTGTAATTTAATTCTAATGTTATAATTAATTTATCTTCTTTCTACTTGTTCACCTTAATTTCCTTCCTTTCTCATCAACCCAAGCCCTCTCTCCATCAAAAGACATCTAAATTGTTGAAAGATTGTCTTTTCCACCCTAACACAATTAACATTCATCTCTCCTGTTCATTTGTAGCTATTACAATTAACCAGCAAAGTCGCAATCGACATCTCTTTTTTTTTGTACCTACTTCACTTCTATTTGATTATTATATTGATTACACTTTGATTGTTGACGAAAAAACTGGCAACAATTAACTCACTGATCATCTAAAAAATTGTAATGGAAAACAAAATGGTGAACAATTAATCTTGTTCACTTATTCAACTCCAGAAAAAAGTTTTTGTTTTCTAATTGTTCAATTTACTGTTTTATAATTTAAATACACGACTGAATGCAAAAGAAACGATTAATTAATTAGAAAAATGATAACAATTAATATGAAATTAATTATCTTCTTTTGTTTTAGAGAAAAACAAAAACCAAATTGTAAAATTAAATTAACTCAAAAATCACAACAATCATAATCATCCGTTATCCTCTTAATTGTTTACTATTCTTATCACAATTAAGTATCGAGAAAATCATCAACTCAATCAATGATTTGATGATTTACTTTTTAATTGTCAATCATTTGGAGGTCACTTGATTTTAATTCATTGGTCGCAATTATCAAAAGATTAGCCGATTAGTTAATCTAAACTAGATGATCAGGTTAACACTTGAATTAAATTGTTCAAGACAATCAGTTGATTCTCATTCAGTCCTCTCATGATCAATTGGTGATCACATTTTTCCGAACAACTTTAATTCTGAATTGATTAATCATTTGAAGATTTTTTTTTGTTGTAATCAGATGATAATTAAATTACTAATTATGAGAATAAATTAAGATGAGAAAGATTTATAACTGGAAATGATCAATGTTCACAATCAGATTAATTGATTGAGTTAAATCGCTCGATGAGTTGATTAATTGAAAGCAAAACTTTTAATTGCACTTTTTTTGTTTCATTTGATTGATTTTTTTTCCTTCAGCTTTAAATTTGTAAAATTAAACATTTTTTTTTTGTTGACAAAATCAAATGTTGTGTCAATTGTTATGGTGACAATATTGTAATAAGTTAATTGTTGTGTTGTTGTTGATGGAAAAGTGCATTAACTGCTTGTTGAGTTATTAATCTAGTAGATGGAAGAAATTAATTGAAATAATTAATAAAAGAATAGAATTAAATTGAATTACAATTAGGAGAGGAAAGAAAATCAATCAATGAGTAACAATTAGATTATTCTTGATGATTAACTGATTTAGAAGGTTAAATTTACATGTTGGGAGTTGTGCTTTTGATTTGTAGGTTGGGGAAAAGTATTACAGTTGCCTAAGGGTAAAAGCTTTAGTGTTGGTCAAACCATCAGATCAAGAATTACATATAATTTGGATAATTGTAATAAGATAATAATAATAATAATAATAATAATTGTACAATAAAATTTTCATTTTAAGCTATACAAAAATCAACGGATTGATGATCCTTTCAATTTCAGTTCAACAACAATTTAGAAAAAAAAATCTCTAATAATTCTTGATGTAAATGCTTTTCGATGAAGCTGCTGTATTAATATGGAGACCGTTGTGATTGTTGGATGGAGAAGCGATTTAATTGCTAATTTATTGATTGTTGATTGTTTTTCTATCCGTCCTTTAGAATGATTCATTGCAAAGACAATCTTGAGTCCAATGGCCGAAAATTTCGCAATTGGCACAATAAGATCTCTCCTGGTTCCGGATATTGTTATGCTTTGAATGGTTGGAACTTGAATTATCTAATGAACTAGTTTTTTGGGTTGGACAATCTTCCGTTTCATGTTGGTCAAACATATCACAAATGTCACAGAAAACTCTTGGAGGTTTGGGAAGGTGCCCGTTAATTGGCCTGATGCTGCCCGTTGAATCGTCAAATTCAGAGAGACCCATTTCCTCGAGTGCCGATAGACGAGCTTTCATGTCATCGTTTTTCTTTTGCATGTCAACGATAACCGAATTAAGAAAATCGATTTGACATTGGAATCCCTCTTTCTCCTCTTCGTTGATACTATTGTTATTATGACCATTGGTCACCAGTTTCACTCTTTTGGTCACTGTTGATAGATTTTCGCTTAAAGATGTTTCCAAAGTGGTTATCTTGGTGATTAGTTTCTCCTTTTCATTGTCCATCTTGGATTTCCATTTTTCTATGTTAGCTGCATTATCTTTCTTAATCTGTTCCAATAGATTATCTCTTTCGGTGATCATTTTATCTTTCTCTTCGAGTTTACCTTCCAATCGGCGGCATTCGTCTTCAAATTCATTGAGAACTTCCTTATGACGGAATTGAACGATACGAATTTCCTCCATTAATCCTTTTAGATCATAATTAAGTCTCTCATTTTCCGAGACAACTTCTTTATTCTCTGATTGAACCATTTCAATTGTTTTTCGTAATTCTTGAATCAAAGAGTCACCTTGAGATCGAGATTGATCAAATTTATTCTCAAGAGTTTTCGGAAATCATCAAACTCTTTACGAGATGATTCCAATTGTTCCTTCAATTTACGAATTGTTTCCTCTCGTTCTTCTAGTCCACTTTTACTGATGGTCACTTCTCTCTTCATTTTTAATTTCTCCTCTTCCAGTGATCTAATTTTCTCTTTATAATCACTAATTTGTGATACAAGACTTTCCAATTCGGTATCAGCTTCAGCCTTTCGTTTGACAACTGCCTCCAAATCAGCTGATTTTTCAATTTCTTTCCTTTTCATTTCGGTCAATTCTGTGGTTATTTTTCGTTTTTCTAAATCTTTATTGTGAAGTTGCTTCTTCAAATCAGCAATAGTTTCCTCCAAATCCATAATCTCAGCTTGTTTAGATTTAAGATCGTCATTCATTTGGATTAGATGATTCTTTTCTTCACCGGTTCGTTTCATCTGACCAGCAATTTGATCTTCAAGAGCGCGAATCTCTCCCAATCGAGATTGACACTGATCTTCCAAATCTTTGAGAATCTTTTTAATTCCTCCGATTTCACTATCTTTCTCTTCAACGGTTGAAGTTAATTTGGCATTTTCTTCAGTCAAATTTCTATAATCCATTTCCAAACAATCTAATTTAGATTCAGTCTCTTTAATCTTCTTATTCAATTCGTCAATGATGGCTGTCTTTTCCATAAGTTCATCATTAATCTGGGTTATTTGTTCACTATTGTCTCCACTTGATTTGAGTAATTCATCAATACGCTTCTCGTATGAACTAATTGTTTCCACTTTACGTTGAATCTCTTCAGTTAATTGAACCTCTTTGTTTACAAAAGTCACTTCCTTGGCTTCTTTGTCTTGGATCATCTTCTTCATCCTAATCATTTCAGCATCGACCTCTTTTCGAGCTTCCTCTTCTCGCTCCAATTTATATCGCATAGAAGATAAATCCTCTTCCAATTTTCTTCTCTCATTTTCACTTTTCTGTAATTTCTCAATCATCAAATTGAGTTGACCACTGTCATCACCGGTTCGCTTGAGAATCTCATCCATGTTATCTTGTAATTTCTTTGATTCGTTATTCATTCGATGAAGATCATCTTTCATCTTTTCCATTTCATCTTCTCGTTTCTTTAATTTCAAATTGAGCTCATCAATTGTTTCCAAATAACGAGCTTGTCTCTGTTCAGCCAGGGAAACATTCAATTCGAGCTCTTTAATCCTATGTTGCAAATTTTCCAATTCTTGCTTCTTATTTTCAAGAGTTCGCTCAGCTTGGAATACTTTTTCGTCCTTTTTAATAATCTCTTCTTGAAGTTGGAACAATTCAACTTCATTGTCGTCCTCCTTGTGGACCGACTTTTGATTGTCGATTAGTTTTGCCATTTCATCTCTCATCTCCATCTTAATAACCATTTCCTCTTCTAAACGGAATGTCAACATTTCAGTCTTCTTTTTCTCTTCTTCTATTGTGACGAGTAATTGTTTATTAAGGGCGTTGGTCTCTTCGAGTTTACGCCTCGTTTCTTCAATTTCCGAATCCTTGTCGACTAAACCTTTCTTTCTCTCATTAACAACTAATTCCAATTCTTCTTCCAACGATTTAACTCGAGTAGATAATTTTGCCATTTCAGCAGATTCCATATCTTTTTCTTTCAATAAATGGCTTATTTGATCTTCTTTCTCTTTCAATGTTTTGGCCAAAGCTGATGTAGATGATGACAAACTACTTCCTTCCCTTTTTAGAGCCATCGATGTACTCGTTTTACTTGCAGACATACTTCCGCTCATTCCGAATCCCATTCTTGTTGACCGATGGGAGGTTGTACTGTTTATTGATGCCAAAGATTCTCGGCTATCTCCCAATCCACTACGACGTGAGGTAGTTAAATTACTTGGACGTCTGACCATTGAAGTAGAAGTTGTTGATGATGATGTTGTTGTTGTTGTTATTGTACGTGAGTTTCCATTAACCATATCTTTAGCGACCTTATTGAGTGGAGCAAACAGACCGTAGTTGGGTTGACAGTTGAAGTATCTTTTACCTGCAACTGAACCATCATTTTTACCTGATGCATCTGAAAGTTCAACACCAGCCCAGTTACCAGAAGCGAAATCAGTTGAACCCAAGTAACGTAAGGTACCTCGCTTTAATCCACTACTGGCATGAACCATGACTTTATCACCCACTTTAAGATTTGAGACAAGGGAAGATGAGGTTCTTGATGATGTAAATGTGGTGTTGGCGGCACCAATTGTGGTGGGAGTCGTAGGTGATTTAAAGCCATCACTTATTGGAGATGGTGAGGTTACGGTAGAAGATGGTTTCTCTGAAGGTGTTATCGGTTCCAGTGTTAAACGATGGGGGCGGACAAAAATACCATGATTGAGTTCACAGGTAAAATATTTGACACCGCTAACAGATCCATCGTTTTTACCGGAAGAATCGGTTAATTCAACTCCAGCCCATTTTCCTGGAGCGAAAGAGGTCATACCAAGAAACCTTATGATTCCAGGTTTAACTCCATTAACATAAATACAGTCGCCAACAGTTAAATCGTCAGAATCAGCATTTAATATCTCATTTGAAATTGGTTTAGATTTTTGATTTAAACCAAATGGTTTATCACTGGTCACCGATGAGAAACTTGAGGTTCTCGAATGCATCTTTGGAAGGCTTGAACTTGTCATCGATGATGGCGGACGGACTCTCGATAAATCACCGTTGTTACTTGGCTCAGAAAACTGATCATCACTTGGAGTGCTCATGTTGATTGATTAGCTTGGTTATTAATATTACTTTATGGAAACACACAGAGAGAGAGAGTGATTATCTAGAATAGAAAATAGAGAAAGAGAGAGAATGGTAAATAAAGGTTATAATTAGCTAATTGGATAATAAAAGCGTAGATTCAACAATTAACACATTCTAATGACAAATGAATTGGGTTATTTAAAGCCAGAGGCCAATAGATGATTCGAGAAGAAAAGGAAAACAACCAATTTCCAATCAATACATTTTTTCTTTATATTCTATAGAGATATTCTTGATGGAGTGTAAACTGTTTCTAATTACAATCAAGATGGAACAATTAAACACAATTAATTTGAAGCAGAAGATATAAAACTAACACTTTATGTAGAGAGAGTCTGTTGGTAGTTTGTTAGCTTGTCATTGAAGAGACACTTTTTTGTAAAGATGATGTAATCAAAATACGTTGAAATTGGGCTGAAATTTCAACAGTTAATGAGTCTACTGTTAATTAAGTTTGAGAATTAAGAAAATATTTACCTTAAAATGGTTTAAAATAATAGTCCAAGTGAAATTGTTTGTATCACAGACACAGAGAAAAATAAAATTGTCCTTGGGTTAGATTCCTATTGTCAATGGTTGGATGGAAGTGGATGATGAGCAAGAGATGCTCTTACCTTTGATTTTGATGATGATGACGGTAATATCGATGATGGTGATGATGATGATGATGATGAGAATGATGATGTAAACTATTAATTGTCATGAAAAGAAAAAAAAACAGAAACAAAAAAGAGAGAAAGAGAGATAGAAAAAGAAAAGAAAATGTAGAAGCCAATGAAGAGTATCAGATGTTTTCTTTTACGGAGAAAAGAATATGAAAACAAAAGAGAATAGAATTTTCTCTTTTTGTCAAATTAAATTACTAATTAAAACATCGACCAACAGTTAATCACATTAGGAAAGAATAGAAAATGAAACAGTAAAATGATTTAAATCACGAATATGATACAATAATTAGAAAGGTTAAATTCTAAATGAGGGTAAAGTTACAACGGGAAAAGTGAAAAAAGATATTTGAATGGAAGAGCAAAAAGACAACAAGAGAAAGAAAAAGAGAGGGAGCAGAAAGAGAGAGAAAAAAAGAGGGAAGATGATAAATAAGATGATGATGATGATGAAGAAGATGAAAAAAGGTAACTAACTGTGAATATTTTGAAGGTTAAGTCTCCAATTGTGTAGGTTTAATTTTGGAGTAAAAGTCTAAACATGAAGAACGAAAATTTTGTTTTTCTATTGTAACGTAAACGTAAACGTAAATCTTAATTTCTACCTTCAGTTTTATTCTCATTCACCAAAAAAGGTATTTGACTTTTGTTTTTCTCTCTTTTCTTTTCTTTCCTTTTCTGTCCAATATGATTAACATGAGAAAAGTGTATTAAACTTGATAAACAATCAGGTTATCAAAGAATTGGACAGAAAAGGTTTTGTTATCATCACGAAGGAATCGAAACTTTTTTTTTTACTATTACGTTTGTGTCAGAATTTCGTAAAAATTTATCAACAAACACTTTCCATTCATCGGCAATTGAATCGATTTAGTAATCAACAACCTGAACCAGGTAATTTGTAGGTGTCTGTGTTGATTGTGTGAGTGAACAATCAAGTAATACTGATTAATAGAGAGAGAGACAGGAAAGTCAATCGCCTTTTTTGGTCATTTAATATCAACTTTAAGGGTTTAAGTTGATAGATCAACAATTTAGAGTCAATTAGAATTTACAATTAACCTTAAATTTGATTTTTCATTCATATGTTTGTAGATTTTATTCATTCATACAACTGGTTAATCTTCATTGACTTTTCATCTTCAATTTTAATGACCATTGGTCAGAAAATTATTATTATCATTACATTTATCGCTAATTGTTGCTTATCATTTTGATACTCAAATTTGATGATGATGATGATTGATTATTTTACTCATGAAATTGATTATAACGTAAAAAATTGTGTTAATTTTATTTTAACATTTTTGTGTGAGTGTTTTTTTGTGTGTGTGTGTGTTTCATTCATAATAATTCATTTGTATCTCTAAAATCAACAAAAAGGTAACATTACAATTAAGTTGATTTCTTAAAAGTAATAACAAAAAAAAAAAAGAGGAAACAAAATTATCAGAATTGTTACAATTAATGAATGGGAAAAACAAGAAGAGGAAAAATATCATTTTAAAGGGAGGAGAGATTATGTTGATACGATGGTCAGTGCATAGAGTGCAAAGGTTAGTTATTGATAACTGATTGCTAATTGTGTGTTAGTTGATGATGTTGATTATTGCAGAGATTGACCATTCATATTAATAATTAATTGGAAAAAACAACAATTGTGTTCGTTATCTTTGCGCTTTGTCATTAGCAGATTACGAGGAAATTTACATAGAGAGACGAGAAAAACGAAGAGGAGAGAGAGAGAGAGAGAGAGAGAGAGATCAGAAGTTACAGATAGAGATAGAAATGATAATTGATTAATAATCCATCTTTATGATACATAATATATAATATTCGGGAATAGAACGTTAAGTTTTGTTTAGAGTTAATGTCCAGTTTAAACCTTGATTAGATTCTCATGGAAAGATATTAGCATTTCGTTGATCCTTCAACTTGATTTGGTTATTGTGTTTTTGCTTTATGGTTTCAGGCCACTGAAAATAAACATGAATTTTTGTTAAACAATTGAGAAAATTGTTGAGATTTTGTTTTGTATCATCGGGTTAATCTTCTTGTCTTAATGCTTTGTTGTATTGGTTTGTGTATGTACAGGTATTTACAGGTAATTGTTTTGTTTTTGTTGTCATTGATTCTGTCTCAACGGGTGAATCAGTTGAAAGCCTTTTTTCCCATGGGCGTTTATGAAGTAACAATCTAGTAATTTATTATTATATTCATCCACTGAGCAGGGGCTGTTGATCACAGTCAAGTTGAGAAGACGATTGTGATGAGGGTAATATATTGTTCAACTCGATGGTTACAGTTGAAGATGTTGAACAATTATGTTGATGATAAGGTTCTTGAATAGATTCAGTTGAATCATCGGCACCCGTTTGTCCAACATCAGTTGATAAACTTGATCCATCATCATCGTCATTTTTATTAGACTGTTGATCATTACCAACAGCTCCACCCTGTAGTTGATAACGTGAAAGTAAAGGATGGTGTGATGATGTAGTACAATTTGGTTCCTCAATGTCAGAAATATGATTACAATTAACTTGTTGTTGTAAGGTTATTGTTGTTGACGATGTGTTTACTGTCATCTCTGGATCCATTATTAAACCCTGATTTGAGGCCGTTGTCATTGAAGTTATCGGGAAAACTGTTGATGGTATAGTTGCTGTTGAAGTTGTTGAGCAATTACCTGATGTTTGTAAATTATTTGTACCAGAATCAAGAGCATTACTATTATTACTGTTACTAATAACACCATCAGATTCTGAGGGTGATTGTTGACATGGTGGTGGTGTGGGAGGTCTCCTTCGATTTCTGGGTCGTAATCGTCGAGGTCGTCGACGAGAAGAAGATGATGAAGATGAACAAGGAGCCCCGTATTCATCTATACCTGAAACGGCTGAAGCATAGCTTGGGGGTGGCTCTCGGTAAAAATATTCAGAATCAGGGCTGAAAAGAGGTGAAGTTGAATGAGTGCTACTTCGTGCAAAAGGAAAGTACCTTTGGTAAATGTGTGATGAAGAGTAAATATTATTGATTGATGTTCCACAGGAAGAATCATCTTGAGCTTGACGTTGTTGTTCAATTTGACGAAGAGCAATTAGTTTACATGTACAACTGATCGCAATTACAAGTAATAAACCACAGATTAATGAGCCCATCAGGGCAGCAGTGATAACACTATTTTTAAGACAATTAATTTCATCTGAAGAATCACCACAATCGTTACTACGATCACAGGTTAAAATGGTTTGTATACAATTACCATTTGCACAAAGGAAATAACCTTGTTCAGGTCGGCACAATTCATTGGTACAATTAATCTCATCTGAACCATCGTCACAATCAATTACCGTATCACAGATACTAATTGAGTGAATACATTGACCATTGGAACAGAGAAATGAACCATGCTCTGGACGGCAAAGCTCTTTGGTACAATTTCTTTCATCGGAACCATCGGTACAATCGTTTACACCATTACAACGTTCATCCAGGAAGAAACATTTAGCATTATTGGCACATAGAATTTTCTTTGCACATTGTGGCTTCTCACAGCCCATTTCGTCAATTCCATTTGGACAATCGTAGATACCATTGCACCTTTGAGTGAAAGGATTGAAACATTGTTTCATGTTATCAAATCCACATGAGATTTCATTGGGTCCACATAGGCCACAATTAAGTTCATCTTTAAAATCAACACAATCCCAATTACCATTACATCGAGCTCTCTCTGAATAACATATTAAACCAGAGGAACAGACAAACATCCCGTGTGGACATTTATCACATTCTCGTTCATCTGTACCATTAGCACAATTCCAATTACCATCACAACGATCTTTGGGGAAAGAGTAACAAGAGAAAGTATGAGATCCTTCATTTAAACATTGAGCTTCATTTGATTCACGACAAACATGATCACAATTTGTTTCATCTGAACCATCGCCACATTCATCTCGTCTATTACAATTCCAAGATTTATCGATACACTTTCCATTGTCACATTTTGTCTCTGATTCTTGTAGACAAGGTTTACCAATCCAAGTTTTACTATAAGTTGCATGGAAACCGCGGCCTCCCTTTTTATTACCATTTACACCTTTGAATGATATTTGAATACTTTCACCTTGGGTGATATATGTTTCGAAAATTGCTTCATTGTCTTCACTTTTTCCACAAAAACGTCTCTCAGGTATCGATTTGTTGCTAATTGATTGAATAATTACAGCACCAGTTGAACAACATGATTCCCCTGAATCGATTGATGATACAAAAGGATTACAAGAGTAGCCATTTACATCGGGAATATCCAAGTCATCAAAACTAATACAAAAAGAAAAGAAAAAATGAAAATGAGGAAAATTTCTATCAATAAATAGATTCCAATTTTTACCTTATAGTTATTATCTCATGAGGTTTGGCTGTGAGTGTCCATAAACATGAGGTTTCATTGGAGTAAGATTCAGGATAACCTGGATTGAAAAATGAACCTCGAGCACCGGAAAGTTGAATATTGTCACAACTTTGATTCTGTACGAAGTAATGATTTTTTTCTAATAGAGATAAAATTTTACCAGAATCGATTGGATATCTTGGTGAATTGTGGTGAGTTAAATTGGATTTGTAGGAAGAGATTAGAATAGATCCATTTGATGTTTTATGTTTACGTTTGGTTAACGATTTAAATGATAATGGAGATTCAGATGTAGATTTTGATGGTGATGATGATGATGATGGTAAAGTTAATTGAGAATTAGAAACAATAATTGGTAAATCTTTTAGAGTTGAAAGTGGACCAGGTGATGAGGTAAATGCTTTCAGAATGTGAGTTGTTGATTCATGGTGGTGATGATTGGATGGAGAGGATGATGGCTGGTGAGATGCTTGGACAATTCCAATACTCAATAATATCCATTTCCAGATTGATACTTTATTAATAAGGAGGAAGAGTTGAGAAAATCAATAAATCAAGATAAAAATGAAAGAGAGAAAGTTAAACACAGACAATATAATCAAAAGTGAATCAGTAAACAAAAATCAAAATATACATACAGTTAATTAACATGTTTCAGGTACGAGAAAATAATCAAAATGAATCACAGCTTATTGGATAAGCTGAATGTTAGGCCTTAAGAGTTAAAGATGATATTGATCAAGAGTGTGTGTGAGAGAGAGAGATTGAGAAAAATATCAATTGAAAATGATCACAATTAAAACCAAAGAGATTGTTAGAGTTGAGAGATTTGGGTTTTCACCTCCGTCCAGGAGATTCAATTGTCTATCCAAATATTACTATATTATCACCGCCATATTGGAATCAGTGTTGATTATGTTGATATAGTAAACCTGGTAGAGAAAAAGAAAACTGTAGATTAAGACAATGTAGAAAATGAAATTAATTGGAAAATTAAATGTGAAACAATTACCGAGGGTTAAAATTACAACAACAAATGGGAAAAACAAGGTCACCATATAATAAATGTAACAAAATAAAAGCAGATCATGGATAATAGTGGCTGGAGATTGGATCTTTTTTGATGGTACAAGGCCATTAAAAGAATTCACAATTATCGTTAATTAGTTCACCAAATAGAATAGTAGAATTAGAAAAATTCACTAGAATATAATTAACCAAGAAACAATTAGAAATTAAGAGGAACCACAAAAAAGAAAAGAGTGAAGCTGAATAACAACAACAACAAGAAGATAGAAAAAAGAAACTGAAGAAATAGGAGAGAAAAAGAGAAAGAGAAAAAGAAAGAGAGAAAGAGAGAAGGAAAAAATTCTAATCAAGAGAAATTATTATTTTTTTCTCTTAGTTGGATGACTGAATTAAAATTTAATTTAATTAGCGAAGAGATTAACTGGTTAACAATGGAAAAGTGATTTATAATTAGATGAGATTCTCTCGTAATCCTTTGCATCGGGATTAAGGTTTCGTTTCCTTGAAAGGCTTAACCAGAATTACCAACAAAATGGTTAACCTGTTTTACTTTTTCATATCAACACCTTAACTACAATTGGTTTGTAATTAACAAACTTAAATCATTACATTCGATTATTTAATCATAGATTGTTGATTACTTTTTATTGTTTTGTTTTCTATCAAATCAATTGATTGGATTTTTTTTGCTCTCAATCAACGAAAACTGGTTAACTAGGTGTTTGATTTTTCTGGTAAAAAGACAGAGTCGAAGGCAATTGAAATCGAATCAACGAAATTAGAACAAAAAAAAGTTAATTGTTAATCGTAGATCAAATAAAGAGAAATAGTTGAAAACCAGATAGATCATGTTAATTGTTGCGTAAGCAATTAAGGCCCATATTCACCAACCGTAATCATAAACTGTAATCAACTGATTCCGAGTTTAAAGTGTCAAGTTGTTTCGTCGACGATTCCATCACTTACCTTTGACTCCGACAGAATCAACAAGGTTCCGTCAATGATCTGGTGAAAAAAAGTGATCAAAGTTTATGTGATTCTCTCGGTGAGAAACATGATCATGATGACAGTGAATGTCTTTTGAAGACATTGCGACAAACGAAGGGTTTAAATAGAAACACTGTACGAACTCAAGTTATGGACTTTATGATCGGTGGTATTAACACCGTTTCCACTTCGCTTTGTTTTCTTCTCCGTCGTTTATTGGTTAATCATGAAATTTCTGAGAAATTATTCCAAGAACTGGTCCAGGTTATCGGAAACTCACAAGTTAATCTCAATGAGACACGTTTGAATCGATTACCTTACCTGAAAGCTTGTCTAAGGGAAAGTTTTCGATTGACCACAGTTATACCGAATTTGGTTCTAATTCTTTCTGATCTGATCACTTTTTCAAGTCAAAATATTCCAACAAGAGTAATTTGATCATTTCGGTCCAGCAATTAGGCGGAATTTGATTCATTTTTATAACTTTTCCTCATCCAATTCAATAAGTTCCAATTATTATGTTATCCTTTGGAGTTATTTGTAAATATCCTGATTATTTTGACGAACCAGAAACATTTCGACCTGAAAGATGGTTAGGTGATGCTCACCGAGCGATTCATCCGTTTTCTTTACTAACTTTTGGCCTTTATAATTGAATGTGTACCGGTAGATGAATGTCCAAAGTCGAGTTGTACATTGCTCGTTTTTGATTTGATGAAATTGATGATTTGATTGGTTGTTGGTACAATTTTGAATTTAATTACTAATTATTTAATAATAATTAACTCCAGAGAAAATTGCTACTTACTATTTAACTAATTAACAGCAATTTGTTATCTTCTTGTGACTAATTGTGATGAAACATTGTCAATAATTGTTTACCTGTCAATCGTTTTTGATGACGATGTGAAAAGATGTTAATTTGATTTGATTTAGCAAATACACCTACCAAATGTATTAATTGATTCCCAATTAATCAACCTAATAATTAACAACCATAATTTACTAATTTATCACCATCTCTAGTAATAATTACGTCAAGAATAAATTAATTTTATCATCTTTACGATTATCATCATTTACCGTTATTCTTGTTTTTTATTTATTTTCTTAACATTTCATTTTGTTACAATTAAAGTGAAACATAATTAACACCAAATTGACAACAATTAATCAACTATTTCACATGTGAACCTTAATTATACACCCATAGAAATCAGTGATTTTCAATTAATAATAATAAAAGTTAAATGTCCAATTAATTAGTGATTCTGGTGATAGAAAAAGTTTCCGATCAATAATCTCAACCAATAACAACAACAAATCAAGTTTACAATTAATTAGACAATCAACTGAAGATAATTATGGTTGATCATTTAGGTAAGTTAATTGGTTAAGTGACAATGGAACAAGTTAATTATTAATTGTTGTGATTATCTTTCTCCAAAAGTTGGAAGTGATATAAATGCCCGGAGAATTGGACATATTGAGAATTGTTTTGGAATCTCTGGTGTAGTAAGTTAACTAATCGAAATTAACTTTTGATTGGTAATCAATTAGTCAACAATTAACGCGAAATTTTCTCTTTGTGATTAACTGATCAACAGCCATTATCGATTCCAGGGCGTGTATTAGTGGGCGAAGGTATTCTAACGAAAATATGTCGAAAAAAACCAAAAGCTCGACAATTTTTTCTATTCAACGATATTCTTGTCTATGGAGATATTATCATGAAGAAGAAAAAGTATGTCGGTCAACATATAATTCTATTGGAAGAGGTTACAATCGATGATATACCCGATAGAATTGATGAAAATACTCCTGATGAAACAGAGAATGGTGAGTAATTTGAATCAATCAATAACCTTTCAAACAATTAACACCTTGTGAGCTGTTTAATTCATCAATTGATTCAATATCTTTGGATTATTGGTTGACATTCACTCGTATTCCTAATTTAGTTGTAATATTTATCTCTCGATAATAATCTAGTCAATGTATGACAACAATTTACTTTTAATTGTTGATTAATCTTTTCCTCCTCTTTTTTATTGCTCTGATTAAATTGTTACAGGTCGACTTAAACATGGCTGGCAAATTAAAACACCCAATAAATCATTTACCGTTTATGCGGCAAATAAGACAGAGAAACAGGAATGGATAACGCACATCGATAAGTGTGTTAACGATTTATTAAAACGAAGTAAATTGTCACATTACAATTAAGGGGAATTTAATTATATTGATTGGGTTTTCTCTGTTTTCTAGCTGGTAAAAAGCCTACAAATATTCACGCGGCAGTTTGGGTACCCGATACGGAGACTGATGTTTGTATGCACTGTCGAGTTAATTATTTTAGTTTCATCAATCGAAGGGTAAAGTTGATTAGTTACGATTTTGTTTTTCATCTAATTTGGAAAATTTTCTTTTAATTGTTTAGCATCATTGTCGATATTGTGGCCTTGTTATTTGTGGAGATTGTTCGAAAAATAAATTCCTAATTCCTTCTCAATCGAGTAAACCCGTTCGAGTTTGCGATTCTTGTCACAACATTTTAGCTAAACAGCGATTGGGATTAGCTTCAGTTAGAGAGACAATGACGGGACAGATTAAAGTTAGAGAACCGCTGCCACTTCCGCCGGAAATTCAACCTGAGGACACATCGTCAACACCGTCGGCATCAGAATCGCATCTGGATGAGGTGAGGAGTAAAGCGATTATTCAAAGAAATACTCTTGTCCGAATGGATTCATTTTCTTCCGACGAGGAATCAGCTGATGAACTTTCGGAAGATCCATTGACCAAACTTGATGATTACTTGGAAGATGAAAAGGTAAACAATTAATTCATCGATCAACAATATTTCGTCACTAATTAGTCAACCACTTTATTGATTTTCTATTCTTTTCCTTCAACAGCCAACCTTTTACAACGATGGAGATGAAAAAGAAAACAAAAGACTCGACAATTCGTAAATCATTTGTAACCAATAATTAACTACAATCTCTTAATTAACAACATAAGGGATCAACTGATTAACTCCTCTGATTGTGTCTCTGTGAATTTATAATACCAAAGGTTTGATTGTTTATCATTCATTCATCAACCTACAAGTTTATCAACTGGAAAATTAGTTTTATCTTTTAATTCAGTTAATCAAACACCAAATATGTCACCAAATTACAACAATTGATATTGATTTCCATTCAAATTAACTTTAAATACCAATGATTAAGGTTCTAATTCTGATTCCAATTTTTGTTTGGGTGTAATAATTGATTCATTTGATATATAAAATTATTCATTATCATACAAAATTACAATATAAAACTGCCTCAATACGTTAATTGTTTACATTTAAATGTTAATTACGTAAATAAAATGACTATTTGATGTACTTGAAAATATAAATCAGCTTTTCAATTTAATCAACGGGTGACAAATTGTTGTAAGAATACAATTGTACAAATTTCTTGTTCATTATATATTTTTTTTTCCTGTAAAATGGGATATTAATCATCTGTTGTTGATTATCTTGTAAATTTGTTGATCACTTTGATTTGAAAGAATCAATTTTCTCACTCATCTCGGGAATCGCTTTGAAAAGGTCAGCGACAAGGCCTAAATCGGCAACTTGGAAAATAGGAGCGTCTCCATCTTTGTTTATGGCAACAATAGTTTTCGAGTCTTTCATTCCGGCGAGATGTTGAATGGCCCCGGAAATGCCAACGGCTATGTAGAGTTCCTGTCATGTGGTTGATTAAAAGAAACTATTAGTTAGCAATTTGACACAGAGGATAATTTAAATTATTATTGTTCCAATTCTTCTTACCGGAGCGACAATTTTACCAGTTTGACCGACTTGTAAATCATTTGGTACAAATCCAGCATCGACTGCAGCTCTTGATGCACCGACAGCGGCTCCCAATTTATCAGCAAGATCGTAAAGAAGTTTGAAATTTTCACCATTCTTCATCCCTCTACCACCAGAAATAACGGTTGAAGCTGCTGTTAACTCAGGCCTTTCTGATTTAGTTAATTCTGATGTGATCCATTCAACAGCATCACTTTTAACATTAACTTTGTCCAATGTTTCAATTGGTACATTTGCCGAATCGGAAAGTGGATATTTTTCAAAATTGGTTCCCCGAACAGAAATCAACTTAATTGAATCTTTAGCTTTAAGAGTTTGAATTGCATTACCAGCATAGATTGTTCTGTAGAGATTAAAAAGAGAGAGAGAAGAGAAAAAAATCAATTAGAGATTAGATGAAGTGTTCAAATTGTTGATTAGATTGTAAGTTATCTAGACAAAGATAGAATAGAGATAAAATGAATGTCTCTTTACCTGACAAAGGTCGAATCGTCTTTGATTCCAATGATATCGGAAACTGGAGATACATCTAAATGTCCACCAATTCGAGGAATTAAATTCTTACCAAAAGCATTTGCTCCACAAAGAATATGAGTATAACCATTGGCCTTTTGCAGATCAACAACCAGAGATGCAATCACTTCAGGTAACATTCCCTTGAAAACGGGATCATCGGCGACAATTATTTTCTTTAAAAGGTCAACCTTGGCCAATTCTTTGGTAGCCTCTCCAATACCCTCACCAGTAATTAAACAATCAATATCATGTCCAAGTTGTTTACCAGCAGTGATACAGCTCAGGGTAATTGGATCAAGTTTACCTTGTTTGTGATCACCAATAATCAACGTACTGGCAAACCTTTTATTGGAAAACAATCTCGAACAAGAACCAATCCTGCCAATTAACAAACTAGAAGACAATAAACTATTAACCGCCATTATAATTAAACCAAGAACAATTAAACATACAATCACCAAATTAATCTCACAATTAAAAAGTGTCAACAATCAAAACATTTTACATTCAGATTCTAAAAATCGATGGAAAATCGAATAAAGAAAATCGATTATTTTCAATTCAATTTCCTCTCGATTTGATTGTTAATTAATCAGCTGATTATTTAACCAATAATCAAATAATTAAAACTTTAAAAAGTAAGAAAAATAAACTAATTAACAACCCCAGGTTAACTTAATCCACGGATGGAATCAATTTTGTCTTTGGATTAATGATAATCAATAACAATTTTTAGGAAAAAACAAATTACCAACAAACTTTGTTGATTAACTTTAATTGTTTTAACAATTTAAGTTAATTTTTTGTTTAATTTTTTTTTCTCTCTCAAGGTTATTGATACATTTCAATAGCTTTGAACAATATTAACAAGATAATTGAATGATGATTCTTTGTAGTAATTAAATCGTTAATTGTTTCACTGGTTTTTTCTCTCATTATCATTAATATTACTGTTCTAATATATATTAGTTAATAATTAACTTTTGTGTAAGAAAAAATAATTAATAATATCATAACAATAATATAAATTGTTTCTAAAAAGGCAAAGTCATATATTCAACATGATCATGATTAAATCTGATGATAATAGTATTAAATGAAATAATCGTAAAGTGAAAATAACCATCAATGAAAAGTGTTCAATCTCAAGGTTAATTGTTGTTAAAGTTAATTAATTAAAGGTTAATATACATTAACATCAACACACTCGGACACTTGAAGGAGGAGAGCTACAATTTAATAACAATTAACAGTGTAATTTTCACCATTTTAATTGAAAGATAACTTTTATTATCAGGTGAATTGATGACAATTAAAAAAAACGTACACACAAAAACCGAGTAATCAATTAGTCAATTGATAAATTAACTGGTAGTAAATTGTGGTAATCAAATTGAAAGAAATTGGGAAAATTGATCGTAACCTTAATTAATTGATTAAAGTTTGACAATATTGGTGCGATAAAGTGAGAGAGATGAGATTAAGGTGTTAACAGTTAATCACAATTTAGTAATTAAATGTTCCGGTTGATTCTTGTTTTCGTTTTTTTTTTGATCGACAAAATTAAAAGTAAAATTTTTCTTCTTTTTTTTGTTATTTATTTTCTTCATCTTATTATGTATATTAATTAACGAGCTAATTAAGGACACCATTGGGATCGCCAATTAATCCGAGGATAACATAAGCTCCAGTAAATAGAGCGGTTCCAAAGAGATCACCCAGTGACATTAAACATGGAATCGCATTATTATCGGGATCATATTCATGTTTCCACAGGAAAGGAACTGAAATATGAGCGATATAAAGTAATAAGGCTACTTGGATTAAGGCGACAACCATGAAGGCGATTAAAAAAGTTGCAGTAATCCAGATTAGTCGAGGAAGGATTAACTTTAATGTAACGATGTAGATTATGTGACCAGGAACAACCATTAGAAGTAATAATCGAGCTGTCTTTGCATTTGGATCTAAATCAGTTAGTTAATTGTTGAATATACAAAGAGAGAGAGAGAGAGAGAGAGAGAGAGAGAGAGAGAGAGAGAGAGAGAGAGAGAGAGAAAGTTCACAATTAAAAAATGAGTAAATTCATTAATTGTATTGTAAATATTTGAAAAGAGTAAAAGTAAATATTAATTTGATTGTCAATGTTAATTGAATAAAAAATAAGTAATGACATTGAATCAGGTTGTTAGTTTTTTTAGGTTAATCAGATATCATTTGAAATTTGTTGATTGATTAGATTGATTTGATTTGATTATTCTCACAATCAGTTTCTAAATTGTATAACAATCAATTGGTTTGCAGGAATTATAATTTTTAGTTGATTAGTTTGGACTTGTTATTAATTAATCTTCATTTTCCATATCTTTTCAAGTGACAATAAAGATTCAAATTGTATCAAGTTGATTATTTCTCAATGTTTAATTGTTTACAAAGATTAATGATATTCTGTGAGTGGTGATTAAAGGTCAGAGAATTGATTTAATTTTTTAATCTTCAATGATTAAGAAAGTGGACAAATCTCATAATCTCATTTGTAACCTTGTTCCAACAATTAGATTATGATGATTGTTAAATTATAACTAACTTGATAATATATTGTTATGAATTAGTAATTAGTAAATTGTTGAGATTTTTTTTATTAGTGTAACTATTTAGTAATTGTTCAATTGTCATGAAATCAAGGAAATCATGATGAGAATCAATTTCTGTTAAATATTATCAATAGTAATAGATGAAAATAAGAAATTATTTTTCATGTGAAAATGTGAAAGTGACTAATAACTAATCATTTATATTTAACGATTGTTAATCATGATGAAAACTCACAATTTACTGATTGAATTAGTTAATTAATTGCTTACCTGATCCGAAAAATGCTCGATGAGGAGGTGAACAGATTTTCATTTTCTCTCCATCTTCGGTGGTTGGAAATTCACCAAGAATACTTCGTCTATGGAAGAAAGTTGATATTCGAGATGCTTGAACGGCCACTAAATTAGCGCCGACACCGTTAATTATTGGCTGGAAAAGAGCGATTGTTTTAAAATGATCTACACCATAATCGAAAATGAAACCACCCAAAGATGAGATGACCATAGCAAGAATAATGGAAGTCCAACCTTGACCAATGATGGTTCTTGTGTATTCATTTGAATAGGCGATCCAAATGCAAATCGGCTGGGTGACGATGAAAAAAACGATAACACCACAGGTCAATTCAATTGAGAAATAGGCATGAAAAGCGTAAGCTGAACCCGCAATTAAACAAACTGCGGTCAAATCACCGAGAAAAGCGGCAATCAGGGTGGAAACATTATCTGGATTTACATTGGCCTTTCTCGAGATGACCACAACCGAGACCATTATAATAGCTAAAAATAACCCGGTTACCGAGGCAGTGACCAGTGAAGTAGAGATCAGAATTAAACTTTTGTTCAGGTCAAAAGTCATCGTTTGAATGGACGTTGACCCAATGGCGATTGCGGAAGCAAGAAACGCAACCGCAACCGCTTGACACTGGATAAGAGCGATATTACCCGTGGCGACTTTCAATTGTTCACCAACCAAGTCCATTCGACCCATATTGGCCTGGGTTGATAAACGGGCTGCAAGGGTCATTTCAAGGTTTCCTTTAAACCCAAGGAAAGAAGCGACCAGGACAAATAATCCACCAACCGATTTAAATACTAACCAGGTTTGAACATAATCGAGGATCAGTCCAGCACCAACATTACCAAAGCCGGCGATTAAAAAAGGGATAAAAACTTGAAAAAAAATAACCTTAGTTGTTTCACTTTCCTCCTCCGATGATCCATCTTCACTTAATCCTAATCCCTCTGGTCCATACATTTTCAATAAATCTTGAGAGAATCGTCGGCTCATTGGATCCCCGAATAAAATTGACCTAACGGTTGAATTTTTCCGTCCACCACCACCACCGCCACTACCACCGATCTCTGGTGAGGCTGTATCGGTAATCGAACCTCTTATTGGTTCAAATGTCGCAACTTCTTGTTGATGCTCTGGTGAACCGGATGCTCTTCGTCGATGACCGGTCATCTCAACATCTCTGGCAGTATTAACTGATTCGAAAGATGAAGTTCGAAAACTTTTCGCGAATATTGGGACCGTATAAACGGACCCCCAGTTGACATTAGAACCTTTTCGAGAGGGCTTACTCGAATTGACCATTTCGGGTCTTGGTACAATTGGTAAATCAATAGGTTTCGTTGATTTGGTTTTAACACTTTTATTTTCATTATTGTTGTTGTTCTGGTCATCACAATTATCATGAGGGATTTTAACAATCACTTGACCATTTGTCTTTTCATCGGGATAATTAACTGATTGTTGATTAATTTCGTCAGGTATAACGATAGTTTGAACATGATAATGATCATTAGTTGATGAATTATTTGTAATTAAGCCACTTTGTTGATGAGAATGTAAACTTTGATTATGAAAATTTCGTTGTTGTTGTTGTTGATTATCATCTGAATGATTGGTTGATTCAGTCAAATCTTCAGATGATCTGATGAATGATGGATTATCTTTTCCTTGATTATCCATGATTAACAAATTATCAGATTATGATTATGTTAAGTAAAATTTATGGTGATTTCTCTCATTAAGATGAAAATGGAAACAAAAGAATTGATTAACTTTTCTTAACTAAATTACTGATTTTCCAGTCAATTCTTGATCACTTAAGTTAATTTTGCCACGAACATGATGTTTGTTTACACAATTTCATTGATTGTTCCTTAATTTTGATGGTTTTTTTTACTTCTTTTCACTAACTTCTCGAGACAATAAATGTCTACTCAAGGATCTTGTTACTTTACTCAAGATCAACACAAAGGTATTGGGATATTGGGTCACTTGTTGGTTTGCATGTTTACCATGAAAGAGAGAGAGAGAGAGAGACCTTGTAATTATGATTAGTATTTTGATTAGTAATTAAGAATCACAATTGTCCAGTTAATTGTCATGTTATAAAAGTTGTTGATGATCAATTTAGTTTCAACTTGTTCAACAATCAATAATTTAGTAGGCTAATATAGCTATGGAAAAGAACAAGAGAAATTTTTTGTTCTAAAGAAAAAACAACAAAGAAAATCATAGAAAACAATAGAAACAATTAAACTTTCATATTGGAAAATAATAATAATACTGAAGATGATGATGATGATTGTGATTTAAATTGTGTTATGATGACAAAAGGTGATGATGTCTATTTAATTTCTTTGAATAAAATGATTAAGAAAAACTTGAAATCTCGTTTCATTGGATTTCACGGTGAACCGAAATTAAACAATAATAGTAATATAATTACGATAATATTGATAGAAAAACAAAATAAACACAATTAAAAATCGTACACAAAGAAATGCGATCACAATCAAGATAAATATTCGTTAATTAAAATTAAATCCACAGGAAGACATTGGAATTGATTGTGTATCGAGAGAGAGAGAGAGAGATGATGATGATGTTGATTGGGAGAAGGTTGAATAATGAATGGAGAGAGAATGGGAGAAGATTAGAAAGACAAAAGGAGAATTAAATTATTCTATTAGGGAGATGATGATGATGAAGATAAAAGTGATAATTATGATGATTTCGATGATTAAGAAACTATGGTTAACTTTAATCAATCAAATCTTTTCTAGCAAAACTTATTCTTGTTGATACATTTTCTCATTTCTAAAATTAACTATTTCAATTTGATTATCTCTCTCTTTGTGTTTAATTAACTGGTTTAATCTGTTTTTAATTATTCTGGGTCACAAATGGTTGTTTCAATTGTAGAAGATGAATTGAAATTATTAAAATCTGTGTAATTAATTATTCTAATTTTTCAATGGTTCAATTGTGAATGGGGAAGATCTGATTACCTCTTTTTGTTTGTTGATTATTTGGTAACCTAATTAAGGTTATGATAATTTAGGTAAAGGTGAATAGATGATTAACTTTAAAGAGGGAAAAAGTTGTGATTTAGTTAATTGTTGATCGACTTATTTGTTTTTCTTTTCCGTTTTCCTCTTTCTAAACTTTAATTTAGTCAATTTTTTCTTCGTATATTTAATCAGCTTTTATTTACTATATTTTTCCATTGACTTTTAACCGAATTGAATTTACAATATATTTGGATTATCATCATGATCAATATCATTCATCTTTCTTTATTTCTACCTACCTAATGATGAATTAGTCTACCTTGAGATGTTACTTTTGCAAGGGCAACGAATACTAATGATGCTTTGGAATACATGGAATCGATGGAGAGAGAGAGAGAGAGAGAGAGAGAAAGTACCGTTAATTTGATTGTTAATAATTTTCTCTTCTTCATCTTTGTGATGTTTTTTTCCCTCAAATCAGAATAAAAGTAAAAAAAATTAGCTGATTTAACTCCTTTTGTTTCATTACTACTTTTCCATGTTCATTGTTTTAAATTAACACCATGATCTTGATTTGTGATTAGATTAAATTGTTTTCTTTACAACAATTTTAACACATTTATTATCCACACTGGTGTTAATAATGATCAGTTGATTTCTATGGATAAACCTTGAACAATAACATTGGAAAAAAGTTCAAGTCAGCATATGACGTTTCTCGCTAATTGTTAACAATTTACTGGCTCTTGTCATGAGAATTCCAAGGGATAATCAAATTTTCTTTTCTACAAACATAAAGGGATGTTTACTTGTAAGAAAATTTTTCGAGACAATTATTCTAAATTCGTATAACAATTAGTTGCGAATTGGAAAGATGAAAAAAAATTAAATTTTCTTTCATTTTTCAAAATCGCGCTTTCTCATCACCATGACAACGAAATCGACACAAAGATGACGTTGCCTTGAGTCTTTCTTTTTCTCTTTCTTTTTTCTCTTTCATATTTTTGTCTCGGTTTTGTTTTTCTCTTTTAATTGTTTCAATTTCTCATTAATTGTCAACCGATTAATCATCTTCTATACTTAATTATCTATTCTATTTAAGAACAATGGCTAAACTCGTTCAAGTGATGTCCAATTTTTACCAAGAATATAAATCAACAACACCACAGAAGCTTAAGATTATCGATGCTTATTTATTTTATATTTTTCTCACCGGTGTAATTCAATTTGTCTATTGTTTAATTGTTGGTACTTTTCCATTTAATTCTTTCCTTTCTGGATTCATCTCATCAATAGCTTCATTTGTTCTTGGTGTTAGCCTTCGGCTTCAAGTTAATCCTGCAAATAAACACGATTTTGGTGATGTCTCTAATGAACGGGCTTTCGCTGATTTCATCTTTGCCCAGATTGTTTTACACTTGGTGGTAATCAACTTCATCGGTTAATTTAGATTTTACCTTTAATATCAATCTTGTCAACATGGTATGATTTTCACACATGTAAAAAAGAAAAGTCTAAATTAAATTTTACTATAATATTATAATTGGCCTTTTGTTTACAATCAATTTTGTGACAGTTTGTTAAAAATCAGGAAAAATTGGTCACAAGCTATGATGGGGTTAATGAGCTATTGATGAATCAAATTACAATAATGTCAACGTAATTAGATAAAATGATTCACTGATTAGGTTTACAATCACGATACAATATAACGAATCTAATTTACAATCATCTAATTATTTTTGTTGATTAATTGATTAAGATTTACTTTCGGATACAATTTTAGATTCTGTTGTTGTTGTTGATGAACCTTCACTTATACTTGACTCCAATTTGAATGACAATTTTTTCACACTATCAACTAAATCAAACTTTGACATTGATAAAATTGTCTTTTTAACTATCCCATTATAATTATCAATTAAATCACTCCAATTCAAAGGGATATTAATCTTCTCAGGTAAATAAGGTTTCACATAAGGTTCAATCTTTCCTTTAACTGAATCATATTCTTTGTATAATAATCTAGTCTTTTTCAAATCTTCAGAATCTCCCATAGGTTTCCATTCACCAGATTCTATTGTCCAATAAACAAATCCAATTGGAATACCATATCTATACCATAAGAGAGATAATTAATAAAAGACAAAAAAAAACGAAAAAAAAAAGAAATCAATTAATTAATCAAGATCAAAAACAGCAACAATTACAAAAGTAAACAAGACGAGGTGACATTCAAATCAAACAACAAAAACGATCATAAAGTTCAACAGATTAACAAAAATAAATTAAAACATTTCAACTCACTTGATTGTGGTCCTAATCAAGCCCATTTTAAATTGTAATTCACAAAACAAACGCGTTTAATTAAATTAAATACAATTAGTTAAAGAAAATTATTTTCTCATTTTTGTTTTCTTCCAAAAGAAAATTGAATTGGTACAAATTAGAAAACTCAGATGGCACCACATTCGTTTGGGTTAAATTCTTTTCCACCAGAGGGAGTTTTCTCTTCTATTGCGTCACGTTTTCGATACTCGACTCGAGCTCATTTACTCTTAATCGCTTTACTTAGCCGCTTCTTTTTTTTATTCTAAATAATTAATGTAATTAATTGTTGTGATTTTTTAATGAGTTTATTTACATTTGCATGTTGATTTAATTGTTCATCTTTATTATTGTTTTCCTATTTTGTTTTGTTTCTTAAACTGTGATGGATAAAATACTTGAAAGTAAATATGAACTTCGAAGAGCCGAACTTTTGGAAAAGTATGAAAAGCGATCTAAACAACGTCGAAAACGTGTAAAAGCAAATGGATGGATAACTGTGAATAAATTGCCAGTAGATTTTTCTAAACGACGACGACGGCGACCACCAAAGATTGACGATGATGACGAGATTGAATCTGCAGTGTCATCAATTGATATGATTCATTGTCCAACAAATAATTTAACGGAAAATCAAAGTAAACAAAATAACAGTAAACTTACTCACCCGCCATTAGTATTGGATGATTTAGATGTAGCAGGTATTGATGATAATTTACTTATCGACTGTTTACTTACCAATATTGATGAACTTAATTTTATTTTGGATTCAGAGGATTTCGATCCAAACAAGTTTGACCAACAACAACAACAACAGCAACAACAACAATTCCAATACCTGATAAATGAATCAACTCAAGTTGACCAAACAACAACCGATCCAAGGACAACAAAAGATTTGGATATTCTCAGTGAAATAATCAACAATCTCAATTATGTGCCTGAAAATGATGATCAAAATTTCAACAATTTCCACCTCGACTCCTTCAGAACGGAACCACCACAAGAATCAATTCTATCATCATCTTCACCTTTTCCAGCATCCATGTTGTCCCCATCAATAGCATCTACATCACCAGAACAACACCAAAATCAACCTCAACCTCAACCACCGGAAGTTCACAAAGTTGATGAGGTTTCTTCCGCTTCTTCACCCAGCCAATCCCCACCTCCACCTCCACAGCCAATGCCAACACCCTCTCCACCCTCTCCACCTTCATCATGCTCTAAACCCACCCTGACATCATCATCACCACCACCACCACCATGTCGACCTCCACTTCAACCATCATACGGTAAAGATATTTTCCAAATGCTTGAAGATGCAAATCAACAGAATCAAAATGAATCAACGACGAGTGATGATGAATCTGAATTAGATGATTGATTTATTTTTCTATTTTTTTTTCTTTTTCATCCAGTGAATCAACTTGATTATTTCCCTCTGATTGTTGTCCAGATTAAATCACCTTAAATCATTTTCATTATCTTTTCCAATTTTTCTCTAATTACAATTTACAAAGTACAAAAAAAAAGCTTATATTCTAATCGTTGTTCAATTCTAATCATTTGTATAAAGAAAAATGTATATTAACAAAAAACAAACTAAATTGTTCTCAATAAAAAAGCTTTTCATCTCCAAAATTTACCTAAATTGTCACAATTGAAACTTAGGTGATCCATCAAGATATATCGTCAATTAGATCATGACATTGAGAGTATTTACAATTAAAGACCAAGAGGATCAAATTAAGATCTTAATCATGATCAATACTTGAAGATAAGTGATCAGAACAAACTAAGACCAGTTTAAAAACAATTAACTTTAATCAATTGTGATAATAAAAGTTAAATGCTAAATACTAAATATTTCTCGCTCTCACTCTCACTCTCGCTCTTTTTTTTTGCTTGACAATGAAACTTTTTTTCTCATCTTTGATTAGCAATTAACATTAATACTCATCATCTTGATAATTATAGTATCATAGCTATTTAACGCGCTCGTGACAATGGATCCTTTTGGAAATAAACAATCAGTGTTTTCTTTTTGTTTTTAATTTTGCAACTTGAGTCCTTTTCCATTAATCTCGATAATTGATTGTTTCCATTTTGAAATTCTTTTCGGTAATTAATTACTATTGTAAAACTGTTCATCCGTAAGTTGGAAAAGTATCTTGATATCGTCATCATCATCCCACGCGAGTCAATGATTTAGTTTTAAGTAGGAAACAAAAAAAAAGTAAATCATTGAACCAAATTATTTTATATTAAATCCACTCGAAACCAGGGGTTCATGATAATGAGCTGATCCATGTTATATAATAGTCTATCTTTCAAAATTAATGGTCTTTCTGAATGGCCAATATATATGTTATTATATTGTTCCTCGAGATTGAGTGAAAATAGAAAAATATTCAAGTTTATGTTGGTAAAAAAAAAGTTCACAATTGAAAGCTTTGTTCATGGCTCCGAATTTTGGTGTAAAATGTAATAAAATCAGCTTTTAATGACCAATTTAACTTCTCGTTCTGGTCAAACATGAGCGTAATCAATTTGAACATAAATTTGTTTAACTCCTATTTGTTTGAAGATACTTTCAACATGACTTAAGATGTATTTGGGATCCGCGTTGTTGGATACTTCGACCTTCAAATTACCAACATATTCATTTGTACAAAGTGTCCAAAAGTGTGGTTGATGAACATTATAAACCTCATCTATTTGCATTATCTAGAGCACCAAGGAAACAAAATAAACAAAGGTAAGAGAGAGAGAGAGAGAGAAAGTAGATTAGTAATTAAGTTTGATTGGCTTTGGATACGAAAGATAAGTATAACAATTATTTTTTTACCCTCTGATAACAAGGCGGTAATAATGCTTCCAATTCTCTAGGTGTACGTTGCATGAGAATACCAATAGAATCACGGAGAAGTGGAAGAACTGAAATAGCAACAAGTGTAGCGATGAACATTGAACAAATTGGATCAGCAATCATCCAACCAAATTGACTCATTAATATCGCTGAGATGATCACACCGACACTTCCCAATGTATCAGCTAAAATGTGTAGAAATACACCTTGCATTATTTGACTTTTGGGTCCCTCTTCAGATTGTATTAATGGTTCATCGTGATGATCATGACTATGATTATGGTCATGACTATGGTTATTGTGGGAATGTGATGAAAGAAGAGGATTTGAATTGTTGTGTGAATGATTATGGTTATTTTGGACACTGGTTACCGATGTAGGTCCATGTGAATGCCCGTGACCATGAGAATGTCCATGACCATGTGAATGCCCATGCATCTGACCACCATGTTGGAAAGCAAAGATACCAACCAAATTTACAATAAAACCCAAAACGGAAACAATAAATAATCTATCATGTTTAACTTCAGGTGGTTCGAATGCTCTTTCAACGGCCTCAGAAAGGATGAAAAAGGCAATAAATAGTAAGAAAAGACCATTCACAAAACCAGCTAATACTTCGGCTCGAACATAGCTAGAGAAATAGAAAAACAGAAAGAATTAAATTAATATCCAAAGTGAACAATCAAGATACACGTAGATCCAATTGGAAATACATCTTGCTCATTATAATTAATGATGATAACTCTCAGCATACCCATAAGAAAATCTTTCATTAGGTCTCCATTTTGTTATAACAGAAGCAGCTAGACCAGCAACCAGTGCTGTACAGTCAAAAAACATATGAAAAGAGTCTGATATTAAGCCAAGACTGTAAATATATAAAAACAAATTAAAACAACAATTAAGAGTATATAACATGTGTAAGAACCCAGACCAGAAAATCAAACTTGTCAATTAAACCATATCTCAGCTAAGTTGTAATAGTGATTAAAAGTTGTTTTAATTATTGTAGAATATAATCTTATGAGTATTGGTCACAATTTTACATTGTTGTATAACCTAAATCTGTCAAAAAAAAATAGTAAATCTAGTGACTAATATACTTAATTTAGTCTGTGAGTCTTAAATCTATAGCAATAGAGATTCTATCATATGTTTTGGTTTGACAGTCTCAAGAAAATGACCAACCTTTTGATTCTGAAAGGATAAATTGACAAGTCTTTTTTTCCCCTCAATCAACTCGATTAAATCAAATTAACATACCTATTGGTTAATATTCCATAAAATAACTCAACGAATGCGAATGATACATTTAATAGCAGAAAGAGGAATAAATTACGCGACGTCTTATCTGCAAATATTAATCTAAAAAAAGAGAATAGAAAAAATATTGAGAGGGAAATAAAAAAAGAGAATAGAATATAAGATGAGATGAGAGAATAAAGAACAGAATATGGAATAGAGAAAATGCAAATTAATTAACAGAATAAACCAATCAATTAATAAGAGAAATTTAAAAAGAACAATTAAAAAAATTCACCTTAACCATCCATTTATTTTCTCTTTTAACCGGAATCCTTTGGAAACCTTATATTCTTTTTCATGGTTGTAAACAGGAAGCATTTGTTGATTAGTTAACTATAAATATCACAATTTCTAATAAAAATTAAGACAAAAACACTACGATTAGATTAGACCACAGTGAACACCTATGATTGTGAACAATTAACAAGATTAAATAACAATTGGAATTAACATTTAATTAACATTTAATTAAGAAGCCGATCCACCGATTATCTTTTCTCCTTCTGTTTCCAATTTCTTCAACCATGGAAACAGACAAATAACAAATTCCCGTTGACGTGTTTGACTTTTCTCTTAAAGCGGTGACATCTAGCGGATTCGAAAAAAAACAAATTCGGTCACGGAAGGAAAAGTCACGTAAATATGAGCTCCTGAGTTTTTTATAAATTCTGTGAAATTCTGAAAAAAAAAATTGTCTAAACTGTGAAAATATAAATTATAAGTGCTCACCTTAAGTGCTCCTAAAAGTCTGTGTGGTTAGGATGGCTGCTTCCTCGGAAAATTCAAGTGATCTTCGTCGCCTCAGTAAGTAAAATCAATGTTAAGCCAAAATCTATATTCAAACGAATGATTTAAACTCAATATTTAAACTCAATATTTAAACTTAATATTTAAACAAAGAATTTAAACTTAAAATATATTCAAACTTAACAATTTAAATCTAACTTACTACATAAAAGGCAAATTCAATACTAAAATTATATTTTTCTCATCCATTCATTGAACAATAAATTCAGAGGATCTTAGGCTCTCAAAGAACAGCAAATATAAAATTGTAATGAACTATTTTGAATTGCAACATGAGAAGAATATGAATATTGAAAAAGTACAAGCTGAACTCTCAGCCTACCCGATAATTAAACATCTTCAACTGCTTGTCAAAGATCAAAATTGGACAAAAAACATTGAACCTGATAAACTCCTGGAGATCACGAAATTCATAGATCGACTAATTCAAATAGACAACAAACAAGTAGAAGAAGAAAGAATGGACAATCAAATAGAAATACAAGATTTTTCGAACAATCAAATCAAGAATTTGCTATCAATCCAGACTGACAATAGACAAGGTAAACCGGACTCTTGGTATGATGTATCCCATATCAAAATCTTACACACAATAATTGTAAAAATACCTGGACTGAAAAATGAACCGGAAAGAAAAATAGGTGACATCGCGACTGATTTAGTAGAAAGATTACTCGAAGAAACGTCGGAAGACTCTGGTTCGGCTGAAGAGATTATTCCAGGATTCGAATCAGCTAAAGTGAGATGTGCGAGTACTGCTGAAAGAATAAAAGTCTTCAACTTTCTGAAGAAATCACAACCAAAATGGCAAATTACGATTCCACCAATACAAGATCCACAGATCAAGCTAAGTGCTGTAAGATTTGATGAGGAAAACATCAATCAATGGATAAATCGGTTATTCATCAAAAATCATTGGAAAAAGTGTTGGAAGGTATGTATAAAACACTTTTACAAATCAGGTAAACACTATGATGTGATACTGGAGGTTGATCCTGCAGTCAGAGAGTGGATTGAACAAAGAAATGGTTTCATATCAGCAGGATATAAGAGAATAGCGGTTACAGATCATTTTGATATAAAACAATGTCAAAATTGTACTCGATTTGGACATTTAGCTAATCGATGTACCCAATTAAGTCTGTGTCCTTATTGTGGTGGTGCAAATCACTTTCATGAATCATGTAAAATAAAGGATCAGCCGCATAAATGGAAATGTCCAAATTGTTTGAAACATGGTGAAAACGCATGGGAAACTAAGTGCTCAAGGTTTCAAGAACGACTTCAACATGAATTGGAAAAAAAGAATTATCAATACAAATTTGTGATGGCCTAAAACAACATTCGAAGTCGAAAAATCGAGAAAATTAAAACCAATTAAGACTGAAATAGTAACAACATAACCAAAAAATTAACATGAATACTCAAACCTCTGATTACAAAACAAACAAATTAACAATCTTCTCTTTAAGTTAACAATTAACAATTAACAAACTAATACACTAACCTTAAAATGAACTAGAACTTCACAATTAATCACTAATTAAAACAAATAAATGATCTAAAAAGTTAAACAATTACAACTAATTAACACGACCCTGCTAAGACTATCGCTCAAAACATAACAATTAAGACTAACCAAATCAAGTAAAACCAATTAACACTAACCCACAAAAGATCCGTTAATGAATAACCTCACTCAAAACAATTTACACTAATCACTAAAATCAACACAGTAACTCATCTCGATTAACAAATTAACACTTTAGTGTGAGAATCAAACAAAATTACTCATTCTAACTTTAAACCGCTCAAACTTTAGCTCATTCAAACTTTAGCTCATTCAAACTTTAGCTCATTCAAATTTAGATTACTCAAATTTTAGCTCACCAAAAAAGAAACAAAAATGTATCAACAATCTATTCTTCGTGAACTTCAAGCAAAAAGACTTGGGTGGATACGAAATACACCTCACATCGATAAAAGTCACTCGATTCAAATCAACATTGACTCCTCGCTCGATCATTTAGCGTCATTGGTACTGGAATCAATTCCTGATTCATTCAACAAACTCACCTACTTCAAATTGAGAAAAAATGGAAGATTGGAAATCGGATCAATCTCTGATGAAGTGAAACGTGAATTAATACAAACAATTGCTAATATATATCCTGAAGCGGAAGTTGTTGAATTTCAACCAATACAGTCGTCGATTCACTTCACTGTGAAATATTTACCCATACAATCCGACAGCTTCATCACCAACAATGTAATCATCTCTAACGCTCTAATTCGTGATAACCAAACCTTTGTGTCTGAAGTTTCGCTGGAAGAAAATGGGTATAAAATCAACCTGAACATAAGTGAAATAAACCGAAACAAATTACTTGACTGTGATGGTTACATCTGCTTTATGGGTTCATACTCACGATTCAGTGACACAATTGACACCGGTCTCTGCTCTTGCCTTGAACTACATGATGAATGTGAATCCACTCCACGATGTGTACTGTGTGCTGAAAGACATGATGAAATTTGCCCAGCAAAATTCAATAGTGAATTGTTAAAGTGCTACCATTGTTCTGGAAATCATTCAGCCTCTTCAAGCAAGTGCGAATATGTGAAATATCTAAAAAATAAAGCGTCCAGATATCATTCTATAAAATATGAATGGATTATCGGAGATCGAGATTAACCTAATATATCTGAACGCGAGGAAAAGTCGACTCCTCACAAGTGATCTCATTGAAAAAACAATCAAGTCGACTAAAAAAGCGCTGATTCTTACTGAAGCAAATCGATCATCATCAGCAAATGCTTTGAATTATGGAATCCTAGTAAATGATCAAACTGTACTAGCAGTTTCAAAAGACATTAAAATTGTGGCAAGTGATACATCACTAAAAAACTGTATAATTACACTCATATCAATCAACAAACATCAAGTGATTCTAATAGGTGCTTACATTGGACATGATGATATCAAAGGAAACATCATCGATTTCATCAACAAAATATCAATAACAACGAAGGTGCCAATCCTTGCAGTCATGGATGCAAACTGTGAGGATAAACTTTGGTCAATGAAAGAAAATCGCATAGACAGCAGTCGAATCTTGGCCGACTTCATTCGTGAAAGATCCTTACGTGTTCTGAATACTCCTCGACCCGACAACTACACGTTTTGCTTCAAAGAGAGCACATCGTGGATTGATGTTATCTTCACAAATCTGAGAAATTGCAGTATAGTAGAAGGAGAAATAATAACTGATCATAGATTATTTGAAGTTAGAATTGAGCTAGAAAAACAGTTTATCATCAGACAGCAACATGAAAAGATCAGAGTACTCATAAGAAAACAATTACCAATAATAGCAGATGAAACAATTCAAACAACCTTTAAGAGAATAAGTGAATTTCCGATAGAATTTGGTAGAATTATCAATAGACAGATCAGAAGTAACAATAGAAGAATCAGGAAAATAAGGAAAAAAATCAGGAAATTAAAGAGAAAGATACCAAATGATACAAGAAAAATAAAGAACTAGAATTAAAATGCATCGAACTTAGAATAAGCAAATACAAAAATACACAAAAATATCTGTACAAGATTAGAAATGACACAGAGAAAAAATGGAAATTCATGAACTCGTTCATGAAATCGAAAAAGGAATTATTCAGTCTAATTGAGGATAGTGAAGTAAAACCTGATCTGAGCTCGTTTAGCAAGAGAAAAATAGTACCAACAGATGAAACAGGAAGTGAATCGTGTATAAGTCAGGAAGAGGAAGAAAGAATCATGGGGTTCAAATGGAAAAAAGGATCAGGAAATGCCGATGAATATACACTGAAAAGCTGGAAGATGTTTTGGAAACATAACAAAGAAAATATTATACACCTGATAAAAAAATCATTTGAAAACGGAGTAGTACCAGCTTATACAAAAACATTCGGTGCACATTACATCCCGAAACCTGACAAATCACTCAGATTAATAAAAATATCATCATCACTATTGAAAATATATGATAAAATCATTACTAAAAGAATACAAAAACATCTTGAAAATATCTTGGTGCCAATGACTCAATTTGCGTACGTTTCACATTTAAACATTAATGATTTTCATATTGCTCTAATTCAACATCTCACCAGTGGTATTGGAGTATCAATTGATGCAACCAAAGCGTTTGATACAATATCATTAGAAACAATTTACAAAGAACTGGAAGAACATGTAGACCCAGGAACGATGTCAATGATAAAGTCATTCCACACAAATCGGGTGCTTAGATACAAGGATGGAAGAGAAAAGTTCTACAAAAAAGATGATGAAGGGACAGCAGCAGGATCATCTTTAGGACCGATACTTTTTATTATTGGTCTAAACGCAGCGATAAGAAGAGTAACGGAACGTGGAATCAAAGTTATATCATTTGCAGATGATTTAATTATTTTATCAAGTAATGAAAATAAAGAGCGAGATATGGAGATTGTAACAACTGAACTCGGCAAGATCAACCTTCAAGTCAACCCAACGAAAACAAAGCTCATTACAAAACAAAATTCAGTCATGGTAAAAACAGTGGGAAAATACATATTTTACTCGGTACATCCAGATAATCTACACAGAATAATTAAAGAACATGAATCAAAAATCAAAAATCAGATTCAACTAATAAGTAAACTTCCACTCCACTATCAAAGAACAGCCATCGAAGCACATTACACTAGCTGTATGTACAAACTTGGTCCTCATGCTCTGATGAAAAATATGAATTACATGAATCTGATCGCTAATTTACAAAATATTGTCAACAATTACCTGAAACAAGCTCTATGCATACCAAATGGTACATCAAATTGGTCACCACTGATTCTGTACAATCTGGTAAATCCAGTAGAAGTATGGTTAACGTCAAATCTAAATGCGATACTCAAAATAGCGCACTCGTACGAAAACTGGCCAATAATTAAAGAGCTTCAAATAAAAAGAACTTTCGCCGACCCTGAAGCAGAAAGTAAAACAAATTTCTGGAATCGAAAACGAAACTTTCCATCACTCGAACCAGCAAAATACAATTTGAAGAAAAATGTATTCTCACTAGATAATGAACTTACTTTGTATGAAACAGATTCAATGAACGTATATCGAAATCATCTCCTAGCAATTTACTGTATGATAAGGAAACACAGGGATGAAAATGTAAATTATCTTCTACCATCAATGATTACGAGATACCCAAATTCTGAATCAACAGAAATAATCATTAAAATGCTAGAAAATCATCAGAAAATATACACATGGACAGAAATGATTGATAATGGTACAATTCCAATCGAAGCAACAAGAACAATAAAAATAAGGAATCTAATTCACACAAAAGCTGACGTCAAGGAGAAAATCAAGGAGAAGGTACAAGAACTGGTGCTAAAAGTAAGGAAGCCGTCGATCTTTCAAACTCTCTTTCCAAAGAAAATTGAAAAAGTCTACAGTCACTATCATGGAATGAGTATAAAGAAAATCATCAGAAACTGTACACAACTGGAAATTCTGACAAACAAACTAAACAGGAAAAAAGGAAAACATAGACATCCAACCCACTATCTAAGTGATTGTAAAAAAACTGAAAATTATCACATTCATGATTTAGATTTAACCAATGACAATAACACAAAATTGAGACTAAAAAACATTCAAAATATTGTATTAATACTAGAAGAAAAACTTTGTAAGCTGAGCGATTAGCCCAGCGCCTTCGGGCCATCAACTCAGTTTGATGAAAAAATGTCTAAAGCATTAACCTCAGGGGAGGTGTAATAAAACGGTCATTTGATTTTCTGTTCTTTTTTTTCATTTGTATTTGTTTCTTCTTGTTCTTGGTTTTAATTGTCGTTGTTGATTGTTTGAGGTTTTGATTAATTTGGTTTCTAATTGATTATTGTTCGTTAATTAGTTTTATGGTTTCTCCATGTTCACATCTGCCGCTACCATTTATCTTTCTTGTCTTTCCAGCTGATTAATAAGCCACCGGCTCAGGTTAATCTATATTAAAGTCTATTGATTGTTTGTCGTTTTCGTTGTGGTTTGTTTTAATTTCTGCTCGTTGATTGCTGACTTAATTACTTAACTGTTTGCTCTGGTTTGTTTAAGATGGGTTTGATTAGGACTACAATCAAGTGAGTTGAAATGTTTTAATTTATTTTTGTTAATCTGTTGAACTTTATGATCGTTTTTGTTGTTTGATTTGAATGTCACCTCGTCTTGTTTACTTATGTAATTGTTGCTGTTTTTGATCTTGATTAATTAATTGATTTCTTTTTTTTTTCGTTTTTTTGTCTTTTATTAATTATCTCTCTTATGGTATAGATATGGTATTCCAATTGGATTTGTTTATTGGACAATAGAATCTGGTGAATGGAAACCTATGGGAGATTCTGAAGATTTGAAAAAGACTAGATTATTATACAAAGAATATGATTCAGTTAAAGGAAAGATTGAACCTTATGTGAAACCTTATTTACCTGAGAAGATTAATATCCCTTTGAATTGGAGTGATTTAATTGATAATTATAATGGGATAGTTAAAAAGACAATTTTATCAATGTCAAAGTTTGATTTAGTTGATAGCGTGAAAAAATTGTCATCAAAATTGGAGACAAGTATAAGTGAAGGTTCATCAACATCAACATCAACAACAACAACCGAATCTAAAAATGTATCCGAAAGTAAATCTTAATCAATTAATCAACAAAAATAATTAGATAATTGTAAATCGTATTCATTTTACTTACAAATAGCTGTTAACTAAACTTGTGATCAAATCAAATCTATTGATACAAATTATTTTTGGTTTTACTTGATTTTTCCGTATTAAGCTCATCAATCATCAGGTTCATCCGCTCAGATTTTTTATTAAACAAGCTGATTGTTATATTTTTTAATTATGTCAGCCTAATGAAAATACTAGAATTCACATCATACGTACAGAATTTGACAATGTAAACATTAATTTATTAGCAAAATTAATTTGAGAAGGACTAGTTTTCGGACTTTTGACTTGAAGGCCTCAACAGATTAAGACCTTTGTGTAATCAACTAAATTGGTCAGCATTGTGATGACGATCTGAGTTTTTTGAGACTTTGACTTTGACATTGAAGTTAACAACTCAATTAAAGGTCATTTGTAGGTTTTTTTGAGAGTAATAACATCAAATTGCCTTAGCACCAAAGCTCGAGTACAAACTTCGAACAGTCTGACCTGATAAACTATCACTATTGGTGCTTATTCCAGTCAAATAAATAAAAGTGTCTTCATCTCTGGTTCTAATTTCAACGTGAATTGGTCAATTAAATGCTCTTCGTAAAGAACCTTCAAATGACCTCTAATTAAAACACTAATGGATCGGTGAAAAGTATTCGTTCTCTTGGAATTCAAGTTCATTTTTTCTGATCAGTAGAACTTGAAGATTCATATCATTCCGAAGACACTCCACATCTCCCCATGGTTTTTTCGAAATACGATTTTTCTCCACGGAAATGATTGAAATAAATTTCCAACTCGAATTAAATTCAACTATAATCCCTGAGAATTATTCCAAATTGATTGAATTAGCTAATAGTTGTACTACTTACTAAGTCGATTCACTCTGAACAGTTCAATCTCTAAAACTGAGATGTATTGAGGTTAACAATCTGAACACAGTTAATTGGATACAATTAAATTTAGCTGTTTATTTTTTACACAATCAAATTAAATATACAATATATATCAAAGTTAAATGATAATCATAGTACTTTTCAATTAATTAGCCATTAGAAGATAAGCTAATTGGTCACTGGGGAGATTATATTAATTGATGTATTTTAAATTCATCAATTAATAAAAAGTAATTTTAATAAAACGATGTACCTGAGAGAAGAGCAAATTAATAAATGATTAGTCTTTATGATGAAATAGTGACGACTAAATTAGTTACCATATTTCGATAGTGATCCAATCGAGGAACCATATCCACTTGATTTGGTCGAAATACTCGAATCGCTCGAACCATAAATGGGAACATGATCAGTCTCATAAACGGTAGTTCGAGTCGCCGGTGAAAATTGTGTCGTCGTATAAACTGTCGTATGAGTGGGTACCAGTTGAGTTTGTGTATAAACAGTTCGAGATCGAGTGGGAATTGAAGGATTAAAGTAAGACGATGTTCGTGTTAATTGTGATCGAAGACCGATCGGTGTTCGTATAAAATTGGTCGATCGAAGGGGCGATCCAATGTTCGAGGTTAACATAGAGTTCGTTGCAAGGGTTGGTGGACTTGCCAGAGAAATCGAAGGCTAAATAATTATGGAAAAAGTAAAAAGTGATCAAGTTAATCAACTAATCAAGAGTAAAGTGATTACCTTAACAAGGTTAGATTCAAATGATTGAGTTTTGGTTACTTTCATTGGCGATGCTAATCCAGGGGATGATTGAATCATTGGAACGTTCTGAATAATCGGAATCGTCTGAATATTTGGTGATGATCTGAAATGAAAAAACAATTAATATTAACACTATCATCTAATTGTACTGATAGGGATTCAATAAATGATATTAAATTGTTACTCAACTGAACATTGGGTGTTTGAATCTGAATCAATCCAGGAGATGATGATTGTATCTGTTGAATTGGTGATTGTTGAAATGTTGGTGATGATAATAAGCCTTGATTGGTTGTTAATGATTGTCCATTAGTTAATAAGGTTGATGATGAAGGTAAAATTGTCTGAAAAGTTGCTGGTGATGACAATTGACCAATCGATTGAACATTTGCCATTGGAATTGTGTTGAATTGATTCGTTGAGCCGGTAAATTGATTAGTATTAGATTGTAAACCGAGAGATGATGATGTTGATCCTTGTTGATTTTGTTGAAAAAAGTTCAACGGATTTAATCCAGTTGATATACTTGGAGATGCAATTGAATTAAGTAAAGATATTGATGGTGATTGAATTGCTGTTGGTGGAGATGGTGATAAGTAAGAGATTGATGGTGACATTGGAAGTTGATTTGTTTGAAACAGTTGATTAGTTAATTGTTGTTGACCAGTTGAAGGTGAAAATGGTGAAAACTGAGCTGTAGGTGAGAGGTAAGATTCTTGTGACATTAATCTCAAAGGTCCCAACATCCGACGATCTGTTGATTTAATCTCGTTAATCTTTTTCTTTTTCAACTTTTCCTTGTGATCATTTTTAATTCTTGCCCCAGGCGATAAAGTTGATCCAATTAAACCATAACTTGCCCGTTTAATTGGTTGATTAACTTGTAAATTGTTACCAATAGACGATTGACCAAACAGCATCGGCCTTTGTTGTTGCTGTTGTTGTTGTTGTTTCCTCTTGTTGTTAATTGTTGTTGGTTTGGTTAATTTAACACTTGATTGTTGAGATTGTACTTTCTCAACCCTAAATGTAAAGTTGTAAATTGTTACAATCAATTAGATGAGAAAAAATAAAGTTTCATTAATCAAATAAGATCAATCACCAGAGAGTAATCAATAACTTCCGTAATAATTTCATTCTTCAAGGTAAATCACTCCAATGAATTAATGATTTCCCTTGTTTTTGATAATTATTATCAAGATTTAATTAGTTTCTCAATCAACTAATTACTATCAACTTAAGATCACAAGTTTTTAATAAAAATAAATAACAACCAGTTGATTATCATTTATAGTTTTCATTGAGACATTTAATTGCTAAACTTGTAATCACAATTACGGTGAGCAAAGTCTATTAACTTAATTTCTCAATTATCTCTAATAGTAATCAATTTGATGAGGTTGATTTACCAATCAAAGAGATCAAACTAATTAAGTCACCAATCAGTTAATGACATTGAAAAACAAAAGCAACAAATTATTAAGTAAAAAGATCAACAATTAGTTGGATCATTAGCTTTGAATCAAGAATTGAATTAATTAGTAATTAGACTTACCTATCTTTAGAATTGAATCTAATTAAACCAGACCTTGATGTTACAAGTTTAGGTTTAATTGTTGGTTTAATTGTTGATCCTTTTCCATTGATTTTAATTGTTTCATTCGCAACTTTTTGACCAACCATTTTCTCAGATTCAACAAGATGACCATTGGGCTTTCCCTCCATGAAGCTTCTGGACACTGAAAAAACTTTATCATCAACAGGCTTAAGTAATGATTCAACAGCCATTGGATCAGGAATCACAATTAAATCAGAATCATTATAATCATCTGATTGTTCATTTTTATTGGATTTTAATTGTTCACTTGAAGGAACACTAAATGTTGATTGATCAACATTAACCGACAAGGATTTTGGCTTGGTTGCAACTTTTACACTATTTGGTATTCCTAAAGGAAGAAAACAATTAGTTAATCACAATTAAGATGAATGATCACTCACCTGATTGAAATTCTGAACTAATATCATAGGAATCCCATGTTGTTGAATCATCACAATTAACAGTTGAAAGTATTAAAACAATTTGAATGAAACATTTAAATGTAAACATTGTAAAACGATTGTGTTGATTGTTGATGGAAATTTGATTTGTTAATTGTTGTTAATCAGCAAACAAACACGAGCAAAATGTCAAGAGCAAATCAATGATGAAATAATTTAACTGAAACTGATGATGATTTAACTTGATCTCCTCAATAATATAATTAAGGTAAACAAACAAGGAAAAGCCTGAAATGATCATTAACCATTGATTAGTTAAATTGTTCCAAAATGAAACATAAATCACAATTTATTTAACAATCTAACTTTTACATCTTAATCCTCTTTACTGTTCTAACCATTCTAATGATTAACTAATCAGAATCAGGCCCTTAATCGTGAGAAATTTAAAACTTTTATCAACATTTGACCGTAAAAAGTGTTTCCATCTTCATCCCGATTCGATATTCAGGTTAAATCCTCGATTCTCAGATTAAATTTTGACTTTGATTAAATTGTTCATCTTACTGATTGTTTACCTCTCGTTAATCATTTCTATGAATAATTAGATTTAATTGATCAAATTATCTTTCGAGTAAATAAATTGATCATTTAGCTCAATAACCAACAATAGAAATCAATGTTTCCATTTCAATTTCAATCTGCTGGTTCTATGATTTTCTTGTTCATGTTAATTAACTCATTAATTAATCTAATCTAATATGCTAACTGTTGTGTCCTTAATCAATTTGGAGCCAATCCCTTGTTCTTAATCCTCTTCACTCATCTTGATTAGTTAATTTAATAAGGAAAAGTTTTTTTCCCTGATTGTTTTCATTGATAACGATTAATACAATCAACAAGTTTCGATAAGTTTTTCATTTCATTTCATTTCAATTCTTATTAATTGTTTGGTTGGCAATCAATAGCAAACAATTGATGAGAAATTAAGTTGTAAAAGTTAATTGTGAATTAATCACTTTCTCTTACGTAATAATAATGTAACCAATTAATTTAATATTACAAAGTTAATCAAGATGATCGGGTGACATTTAGGATGATCAACTTAATGGAAATCAAATTATGATAATCAAAACCATTTTAACCTTTAACCAGATTAATGTAAAGTCCTAAAAGTTATTAGATTAACAATCAATTAAGTTAAAATTTTGTTCGGTAAACAATTCTGACAATTAAGAATAAATCATTTACGAGCCAAAAAAGAAAATTTGAAAAATGTTTCCAAACGAAATGATGAAGAGAAAAATTCTCAAAGAAAATCATGATAATCATGATAGAATTTTTTTCTTCTTCTTCTTCTTTCTCCTCAGAAAGAATATTAAATTTACGATCAACATGATTAGTGGTGTTGATTGAGTTGCACGTAATCGAGGCGATGGTTTGACGCCAGTTCGACGAAAAATTCAATAGTCCATAATAACCAACCTATTCGAAGATGAAGTATTTTTATCTTCCAACGAAAAAGACCTTCTCTCTCTCACTCTCTTCCTTTTTCTATCATCACCATTAATTAATCTTCTTCTTCGAATTTTCTTCCTCCCTGTAACCTCATCTCTCTCTCTCTCTCTCTCTCTCACTCACTCACTCATTTTCTCTCTGTTAATGAGCAGCCTTAGGCTTCGGTGTTACTTCATTTGGATTCATCCTTTTCTCTTTCCTCCTCCTTAGATTCTCATCCTTTCCTTCAATCATCATCATCATTTTTCTTCATCATCATCATCATCTCATATCTTCTTCTAATTATTTCCTTTGCCTTCTCTCCATTGACACACAATCAATCTCTTTCTCAATGATCTAAAAAAGTTCTTCTCCTTCATTCTCTTTCATTTTTTTTTTATTCTCTCGTTGTCTTATCTATCTCAATGTTTACTCTCACATTAGAAAATTGTCTCCAATCTCTCTAATTGTTTATTAATTTCTCTCTCTCTCTCTCTCTCTCTCTCTCTATTTTCCAACAATTTAACTAATCACTTTGTTCATATTGTTACAAAAAAAAACGTAAATGTTACACATTTGATTGGTTCGAATTAAATTCAATTCTAATCATCTCCCAATTCTCCGAGTTTTATTTTCTCTTGTGGTTCTGTTCATTTTTCCTTCTCTCATATGTAACTTTCTGTTTCTTTCCAATGTGATGTTTATTTTTAAATGTTCACCATGTTACCATTATTACCTAATCGGCTAATTGCTTGTTAATTATCTCTTTCAATTTAATGTGAACCTCATTATAAGTTAATTGTTGTCTTTTAATTAGAGTCAAATTTTCATTTCTCTCAAATTGATACATTCAACTCTCTCCATTTCCCATTGAAATTCTCGTTCTTTTCAACGGAAACTAATTTTTCCTTCAGTGTGGTTGCTTTTGTTTTCTTCTCTCTCTCTCTCACTGTGATTACTGTTTTGTTTTGTTTTTCTTTTTAATTGTTGTTAATTAATCACAATTAATCAATTTTCACCATCTCTATCTCTTTTCTAATTAGTCTCTTTGTGACATTTCCCCTCATCTTTACGTGTACTTTAACCTCGATAATGTCATGTCTTTCGTACTTAATTATATCTTTTTACCTTTACTCAACTCTTTTTGCTTCTTTTGTCTTTCTGGTAAGTTAAATTGTTCCAACAATCAATTCTAATCCAGTTAGAATACACCTTTCACTGTATTAACAATATATTCCTCATATCAATTTCAATCTAAACTATTTAATCAATTGAGGGTATGAATCAATCTAATCAACATGTTGGTCTTAAGATCTTGTGATCTCATTGATTGTTGTTGTCAACATTTGACCAACATAAATTGTATTCATCTTTTAATTTGATTGTTTTAATTTACTCAATTAAGGTTAATTTGTGTGTCTCTCTCTCCATCGTAGTGTCATCATTATCTAATTATCCATCTACACAATTATCTTCACCACTCATTCTCTAATCTTCTAGTCCATAATTATTGTGTTTACCCAACGACTTATTAAGATGATTGTTTTTCTCATTCTATTTTCTTATTATTATTGTTATTTTTTTTTTAATTCTAGAATCAAACAACAGAAGAAGAAACAATTAATCTAACCAGTATTGATCTGATTGAACAAGAATTATTGGACATTCTTCTTGGTGATAAAATAACCAAATTAGAACATGATGAACGTGGACGTAAGTTGGAATATCTCTCTGTTGATTCTGTCAATCTAATTAATTGTTTTTCTTCAATTTCGCCTCCATTTTGGATGATTAGAATGTATCTCTGTTAAATCAGATGAAGGTGTTTACTCATATGTATCACCGGGAAATATAAGTGAAGTTTGTGGCCTTTATGTAATTGCTCAACCCGATCAAAAGGTGGTCTTTGAATTTGAAAGTTTCTCCGTTGATTGTACCGATAGTGGACTTTTAAGTGTTGTAGATGGTTGGGAATTGAATGGACAATTTTTCCCTGCCATTAGAGATCATCCAGTTCCAAGAGATGAACGTTATCAAGAATTTTGTGGTTCCAAAAAGCCTGATAGGAAATTCGCAATGTCTCAAAATGTGGGTCTAATTGAATTCCGAATACCAAAGGAACTCGATGGTTTCAAGATAAACGTACGATTCCAGAATAACCCAGAACGTGAGTATTTTTATAACACCAATAAACTGTTGGAATAAATTATTCTGATGAAGTTTTTTTGGGAAGAACAAAACAAAAACCATAACAATTTTTAATGCTACTCTTTCTCGAGTAATTTAGTTAATTGCCTTCGTGTTTGGTTGTGATTAAATCACGAGATGATTATTAGCTGGTTAATGTTTTGAATAACAGACTCAGAGAGAGAGAGAGAGAAATTAAGTTTACATGATACAAACTTAATAGTATTTATTACATTGTTTATCTTTGGAGAGGAAAATTTTGTTATTGTTTATAAAAAAATATTAATTATGAATATTACAATTTCGATTTATGTTTTTCTCTTCTTGTTTTCTTATGATTCCTATTTAGCTTGTAATGCGATCCTTCAAAATCCTCAAGGTGTTTATACGATAAAAAATTTTGGACGAAAAACAAATTGCAGTGTTTCCATTATGTTCCCTGAAAGTTTCCAGATCATTTCAACCGATATTGGTGTTAGGGTGAAGGAAGGAGATTCCAATTCCAATGTTAACAATAATACAATTGAAACCGGACTCATGAGAGAAGTAGGTTTCCAATAATAACAACGAATATCAATCAATGTTTCCAATATTACCTTAGATGTATTCTTGATACCATTTGATTAGAAATTTACTAATTGTGATCAATCTCTTGTTATTTATAACAACAGTGTAAAACTATCGGTGTCTCTGATTATGCTGAGATAATTGGTGGCGATGGACTGGACACTGACATTATGAATGTCGCTGGAGAGTTTTGTGGTCTCGAATTTTTATCAGGTAATACAAATTGTCGTCGAAATTAGATTGTTAATCTTGTTTTCATGTTTTTCTCATCATTATTATTGTTAATTTAGGAAAAATTAAAGTTGATATCGCTTGTGGTAATACAGCGGTTCGAATGGTATCAAGTGGACGTTATGAGAATTCAATTACAATTGCTTTCGATTTGATAACACAATTTTCATCGTCGAATTTAATTTGTTCAACATTTCGTGAATTTCAGTGAGAAATGTTGTTAACCCGACAACAAATTTTAATCCAATGGATTTGGATTTACAATTAACTTATTTAAAAAAACTTTCGATGTCACCTAAGGTCACAATACGAATGAATTTGACTTTGGAGAGTTTCTTTTTTTTCATTATCAATTTGTTGAACGAAATTATATCATTTTATCTGACGAAAGGCTAAAAAATCAACGTGTATTCATTTATTACAATCAAATTAAATTGTGATGGTAAAAAAAACTGGTTTAAATTTATATATAAAACAACATAAATCCAGTTATAGTTTTAAAAAGTTACAATTTAAAATTTGAGAGAATTAAAAAATTTTGTTACCTTTGAAAAAAAAAGAAAAATCAGTGAAAAACCCCTTTAAAATTCATTAAATGTATCTAATTAATTGTATCTAAAGCGAAAATTAATTTAAATTGATAATTAAAATTGATTAACTTATTTATCAAACTTTTAATTTTCTTCAACAGCAAATGTCAACTAATTTACTCAGTTTTTGTTAACCAATCACAACTGAATCTGAATAGATACTGTGATCCATCAAATGTATATTTTGATGGACCAAAAAAAATCGAAAATCAGTTCGACAATTAAAAAAAAACTAATCACAATTTAATTAACAAGATCGTAATTGGATTAATAATTTTTCCATCCACTAGATGTCATTACATATTCTTTTCGATTTAAGCGCCATCTAGTATTCTAATTTGTTAATTGTAAGAAAATCATTTTCTTTTCTTTTTCATTTTTATGTGTGTTGATTTTCATTTTTTCAATGTAATGGAATTTTTTTTTATTTCTATTATGATTAGTAATTATAATTAATTGAACTATCACAATGCCAAAGACTGGTTCAATCTCTAAAATGTCCGAAACAGGGAAAAAGAAAAGATCAAGTGGAAATGTTAAATCTCCTGCCGAGTTTATCTTGAAATCAATGGTTGACCGGGATCCCAAAAAACGTAAAGTTAAACCCAACAGTAACCTACTCTACCTTGATCTTCTTGCTGATTCGTCCTCAGATGATGAAGAATATCTTCCCAAGTAAGTTAAACACCATGTAAACTTTGTAATTAAGTTACACCAGTTTGATTGTAAACTTGTAACTGTTGAAAAAAAAATCGATTCATCCAAACTGAAATAGCTAATGATTTCTGCTTTTTTCTCTGTTTCTTTTTTCTTTTTATTGTTTCTTTTTTGCTTCTCAAGATCTAAAGATATCGCGGCTGCTGAAAAAGATGATGATTTGGATGAGGATGAGGATGATGATGATGATGACGATGACCCTGATGGCGAAGACGATGAAGAAGGTGATGAAGAGGAAGATGCAGAAGAAGATAAGAAAAAACAGAAAGACAAATCTTCTAAAACGTCCATGTTATTAAATGATTTCCATTCCAAGGATGATTTTCTAAAAGGCTCAAATGATCTTTCATCAATTAAATTTGAATTACCAACTAAAGTAACCAAGTTATTAGTTTGCTCAGTCTGTATGGGTGATGTTTCCCATGAAACCGATGAAATAGGTAATAATGATGAATTTACTTTTATATTTCTCTATTCTTGTTACATTATCCTAATTGTGTTGTCTTGTTTTTTTTTTGCTTTTTAACGCTATTTTCTTAAGTCGAATGTGACTCGTGCGGTATTACTGTACATGAAGCATGTTATGGAGTAACTAATGACACAGATAGTGATGCAGACTCAGTTAATTCCAATGCAAGCTCAGCCTCAACTGAACCCTGGTTTTGTGACGCTTGTCTTGCCAATGTAACTAATCCAGTCTGTGATCTTTGTCCAAACACTGGTGGTATATTTAAACAAACCGATGTCAAAAGATGGGTCCATCTTGTTTGTGCTCTTTATATTCCTGGAGTTGCCTTTAATGATACTAGTCATCTAAGCGGTGTAACTCTATTTGAATTATCTTATGATCGATGGGGTGCTCGAACTTGTACACTATGTGAAGATGAACGTCTCTCTAGAACTGGTATTTGCGTCTCTTGTGATGCCGGAATGTGTAAATCTTATTTCCATGTTACTTGTGCCCAATCCCATGGATTACTTGCTGAAGCACAAAGTACAGAGGAAACTGAATTAGTTGATCCATTTTATGCTCACTGTAAAGTACATGCTGGAGATAAGGTTGCTGTCAAGGCTAAAAGGAGAAATTGGTTAGCACTTCAATCAAGAATGAAGATAAAAAAACAACAACAAGAAAAATCTCACAATGAAAGGATTATTAGAAAATTACAAAAAGCTAGACTTAAATGGGCAAAATTAGATGAGACGAAACAACCTTCATGGAGTAAGTTTTTTGATTCAATTAAACCATCGTAATGATTTGATTGGAGGGATCAAATTGCTAATTAATTTTATTGTTTTACTTTCATCTTTTGTTTTCTTTTTCAGTACCAACGAAAAAAATGTCTCGTCTTCTAACTACAAGTGCATCTGCCGTACGAAAACTCATTAAAAAAGCTGAACTTCTTGGAATGAGTCCACAAACTCAATACATCGCTGCTCAAGATGTAGATATAAGAAAGAAATGGCATCTGCCTCCAGCCTTTTCTGTTGAATTTGTTTCATATTATTTAGGTATGAAAATTGAACAATTAGACCCGATTCGATTTTCAGAATTTCATACTTTAATTTGGTTCTTTTCTTTTTGTTTCAGATCGTAATAATCGGATAAATAGTATGCAGAAAAGGATCGATGAACTTAAAAACCAATGCCGCCAATTTAAGGGAGCTGAAAATCCAACTCGACAACGTTACGAAGAGTTAACTTACCTTGTGAATCAGTATAAAAGCAAAAATATCGAATTAAAACAATCTTGTCGAAATATTTGGACACTTTTGGGCTCTCTCGCAAAAGAAAATGTACCCATACCTAGGATATTAGAAGATGATTATGTAGAAAAGCGCGATGAAGAATCTGGTACAGGAGATCAGATCGGTGAATCTGCAACCTCATCTCCGTTAAATCTTTTGGTTGAATGTGGTCTCTGTCACCGTAGTCACGATTTTCAAAAGTTAGCACTTTGCGACTCTTGTAAACTTCATTATCATCTTTATTGTCTCGATCCACCTCTCAAACGGATGCCCAAAAAAACGCGATTCGGAGGATGGCAATGTTCTGATTGTACTGAAAAAGAAGAGGAGGAAGACGAGGAAAGTTCAGAAAAAAGTGATGGCGATGAAACTGGAGCCACTGATAGTTTTGTTGATTCGGCAAAAAAGCGAAGGAGACTTAGGGAACATGTTAAAGGTCCAAATAAATTCGTACCTGATGCAGACACAACTGGTACAACAACCGAACCTGTAAAGAAAAAGAGAGGTAGAAAAAAGAAAAACAAACTAAAAGGTGTTCGAAAAGAGAAGAAAAATAAGATTAAGCGGGATTCAGCCAACGAAGATGATGAACCCGCCGGTCGGGATAATACAGTCAATCGTAAAGGTACAATAAGCATGGGTCCTAATAATAGTATCTTGGTCTCTCTTGAACCCGTTAAAAGAGTTGTCAGAACGGAGGAAGAATGTAGTAAATGTAAAATAACATCAAAATCGAGTCTTCTTGTTCAATGTGATCAGTGTTTGATGTTTTATCATTTCGCCTGTTGTAATCCACCATTAAGAAAGAATCCAAAAAAGAAAGGATATCAATGGTTCTGCGAGGAATGTGACGACAGTGATGAGGAAAGTGAAGCCGAAGAAGAGGATGATAATGAGGATGATAAAGAAAAGGAAGAAGAAGACGACAACGATGAAGAAGAAGATGAAAGCGAAAAGATTGATGACAAACAAAGTAGTGATGTTAAATCAGACCGAAAGGATTACTTAAATGAACCAATTAAACAAAAGGATACAAAACATCATAATTCTCACCATAATCACCACCACCATCACCACCACCATCATCATCATCATCATCAATCTACCTCAATGGTAAACGGAAATAATGGAAACTCTTCACACCTTAAAGAAAATGGAAAGTTAGTTATCCGTCTAAAAGACAATCGAAATTAACCAAGATACTTAGCAGAACAATTAAAACTTCATTGCCTTTTTTTCACCTCATTTAGGGCTGATGACAAAGAAAATTGGGATTAACTGGATTTGACTTTACAAAATAATAATTATCGCCAAGAACAACCTGAGCATGATTATTATTATTATCATTTCTATTACAATTATTACAACAATTATATAATAATGATAATTACTGGTGAGTAAATCTCATGCAGTGATTTGTATTTTTTCACCTAGAAACCTGTATAAAATTATTTGAATCACTTGATTAATTTTCAACTGATAAGCCCAAGGATAACCACAAAGAGGAAACAAACAATTAATCAAGAAACGGAATCTTAATTTCCTTATTATCTCATAATCTTCAAAAAAAAAAGATCCCCAAAGCGTAAAAGAAGCTGAAAAAATTAATCCAAATGATAACCAATTAACTGTTTGAATAGACAAATCATCATCATCATCATCATCACCACCACCAAAATCATCATCATCGTCAACAATTCTTTAGTTTATTTACTTTAATTACTCAATTTGTATTTTGTTTTGTTAATTTATCCTTTCCAATTAATCTAAATATTTTTGGCTTGGATTTTGTGTCACAAAAGTCAAACATACAAACAACAAGAAGGAAAAAAACATAGAATCAAAGCTGTGATAAAATCATAAATTCCCTCAACAATTTCATTGAAATAATCAATCACCAGAACCAATCACTTCCACCTTAAATTTACCACCACAACCATAACCAAACATACAAATAAAACTGAAACAGTTAATTGTCTAACCTAAATCACCAATTTGATTAACATCTTTTCAGCTGATCACCCAAATGATCATAAAAACAAAAACAACAATTGATCATAAACATTTATTACTATTTACCATTTTTTTTTTGTTTTTCTTGTTGTTTAATATTATTTATAATCACCAATGGTCACAATTAGTTGATTTATTAGCTATTAATGACCATCGGTAATTGAACAATTTAAATTTTGTACATGAGGAGGTTAATAAATTGATTATATATAAAAAAAGTTTGTTAATGAATTGTGATTATGAGAAAAGCTATTGGGATGATGAAACAAAAAGAAGAGACCAAGTTAATTGTTTGTATGAATCAATCAAAGTTTCTCATGGAGAATGAGGTAATTAATTAATTGTTAATTTAAACAGGTAAACCAGGTTCATCTGTTTTACATGGTTCGTATTTAACTGATTTAATATCACTTGAAGTTTTCTCATCTGTTGCTGGTTTAACGTTCATTGTACTTGGTTCAATGTTTCCGGTTCTGGTTCGATAATACCAGATGATTAAGAAAAGAGCAATTAAACTAACTAAGATTACTGTTAATGAACCAACGATCATGAATGCTAATGATGAGCTAATCTTATTATCTTCGGGTACCTTGAATTCATCATCTTCCTCCGCAGCGATGTACCTGTTTGCACCCCAAGTATTGACTCCAGATGATGAGGATGAGGATGGAGATGAAGATGGAGATGAGGATGAGGATGGAGATGGGGATGAAGACAATGGTGGTGCTAAACCAGCAATTAAGATATTCTCGTCTTTATTAGGCGGCATTGTGGTTGGAGGAATTGAAACGATAAATTTGGAAGGGATTTTAACTGGAGTTTCTTTAGACAAATCGAAGGATAAAATCTCATCCATTATGGAGGCGATGAACTAAATTAAAAGTTAATTTGATTAGAAATTAATTGTTCTTTCCAATTAGATTTTACTTTACATTTACCTTGTATTGTTCATTTTGTGATTTTGGAAAATCGTTTTCGGTTAATTTTGAAATGAACGATTTTTCCAATATCTTTTTGGCGACTTCTCCGAGTGATACCGCTCCCTGATAATGAGAGAGAGAGAGAGAGAGAGAGAGAGAGAGAGAGAGAGAAAACCAGATCAATTAATTTAGCTTAGTAATTAGTGAAATCATTCATATAATAGATGTGAACATAAATCAAACGAGTTATCTGGACATTGGTCATTTTTCATCTTCTCCACCTACATGGTAAATCAGCTTGGAATCAGATTTGGTACATCTACATTTTAATTAGCTAATTGGACAATTAATTTAATTTAATCTTCTCATAAATGATTTAGCTTTGAGATCCAAACTCAAGTAATCCAATTTACTGGAACAATTTAATCAGTTTCAGTTGAGTTTGATTAGCTAATCAATTTACAATGGAATTAATTTTTTCCAAACTACTTTATCTTCAGGTAAATGATAAAATATTTTCTGGAAGAAAATTATTATTTATTAATAATAATTTCTTATTATTATTATATCTTAATTGTTGTTAGATTTTAATTCCAATTGTTATTGGTACAATTTCGGTCTCTTATGTTCATCAAATTAATGAATTTATTGGTTCATATGAACGAGGTAATTTACTTAATTGTGCAAGTGAATGTGCTCAAATACCCGATTGTACTTGTATCAGGTGAGTATAATTAATTTGATTATTTGATCATGATAAGTTTAACAACTAATTGTTCAACAATTAAAAGATTATCATCAAATGGTAGTCAAGTTTGTCAACCTTTATCAACGGAAACGGATGCTAATGGACTTAATCACACTAAATGGGTTTATTTTTCAATGGTAAGTTAAATCATCTTAATTAATTGCTAGACTAATCATTTTAATATTAGATGGTAAGGATTAAAGGGATTTATGATTGATTAATCTTACCGATACAATTTATTGATTCACTGAATTTATAATACACAATTTGTCTAAGGGAAGTAAATTATTGATTAGATTTTAATTACTGGAGATGTAAAGAAGTAATTAAATCATAAATAGATTAGATTTGTTTATTGATTGATTTTCTTGTGATTTATTTTCTCGAGACAGATTTTACCCAATTTAACTCAAGGTAAGATGATTTAATTGTTGGATGATTAGAATGTAATTTCTTTGATTAAATTTTCACTAATTTGCTTAATTGTTTCAACAACAACAATCTAAACGGATAGAAAATGTTGCCCTACGAAAACCGTCAACACAAAGTTCAGTGTTGGAACTGAACGGAGTCTCTTATTCAGCTGATCGAGCGGTCGACGGAAATTACAACATGGACCCAACTAAAGTACCTTATCTGTCACAGACCAAAGAAGAGGCCGAAGCCGATACTTTCCCGTGGTGGCAAGTTGACCTTAAACGTGACCACATTGTATCAATGGTTAAAGTTTTAAATCGCAAAAATCCAGGTAAATGATATCACCTGATTGTAGCTAAACGACTCAACAAACTACTAATTATCTTTCTCATCATCATTCAATCATCAGCTGATCGTCTTCATGATTTTGAAGTTCGAGTTGGACATAAATCAATTACCTCTGATCACAATAATGCTCATTTCAATTTGAATGGACTATGCGGAAGTTATAAAGGATCATCACTCGAACCTGGACAATTTGTGACAATTAACTGTGAGGTAAATCGATTTGATATTATTATCAATATCCTCTTTTAATTGTTCTATCATCAATCTAATCATCTAATTTCAGCCTTGTCCAATTCTTGGTCGTTTTGTAACAATTCAAATTGTTAAATTGTGTGATGATTGTAAGGAGAAGGATAAAAATATATTAAATCTTCCGGAGGTTGAAGTCTATGGTTCAGCAATTAACGATAAAGATGAGAAAAAAATTAAAGGTAAATCACCTAAGAAACAATCATCAGACGAAATTGATTCAATCGATGATAACAATTAAAACTTTAACCAATCAATTAACCAATAGTTAGACAGGTAATTGAGAATCGATATAATTAACTTTTGATTGGAAATATTTTCTTTCAATCTAATATTAATCAATTAGTTTACTTATATATATTTGGAAACTTAAATGTTATATTATCTTAGTGATTATCTTCAAAATAAATGATATATTTCATTGAGAAATTAATTCAAATTGTCTAATCATTTAGTTTACATTAATTGTTATTAAATTGTTACTGAAAATTTTCACAATAACAATGATAATTGTTTATATGGTTCTGGCTAATTGATTAACTAAATTAACTTTTTGTTTTTCTTACCATGAAAACAAAAGTGTTAATATTAATGTACAAGGTGAAAACAACAATTAAAAGTTAAACTTAAAAGTATTAATCAAATTAAAACAGGTAAACATTAATTAACTAAAATAATCAAAGTTTTTTTCCTGAGTTTTTGTTGTTGGAGAAAAAAAATTTCAATCCAATTTGCTAATTAATTGTTAAAAGCAACTAATTCAAAAGGTTTTATGTAAACAATTAAAGATCAGGAACTAAACAAAATTAAAGTTGAAAGTAATTAACAATCAAAGTAACAATTAATTGTGAAAAATTGAAACAACCAAAGTAATAAAAAATTTGAATGTCAAAATCAATGAATGTTAACCATTTACAAAGACAAACAATTAAGGGAGGGAAAAATTTACAAACAGTTATGTTAATTGTTGTTGGACAATTAAACTTTCATCTCAATCAATTGATTGTTGACCATGAAAATGACCAATATACTTACACCCAATGGTGAGATGACCACAACAATATCATTGCCACAACCTCCAGGGTTATACTTTTTCCTGAGGGAATCAGTAAATTGTTGCCATGTTAATTTCCTACCACCTCTGTAACTAGAAGACAATTAAACATTAATCATCACATTTAATGATAACAATCAACAAAGGAAAAAGGTGAAAGGAAAAACTTATCATTGTGAATACAATTAAATCGGTGTTATTATTATTTGTTGATTTGTTGTTTTCGTAATGATCATTATCTTAATCCGGTTTTCATCTTTACAAATTGTTATTAATTTAGTTTCTACATCCCAACAATATAATAATAACTCTTGACCTTCCCATGGATTAGTTTAAATTTCAAAGATAATCTGATGTTTGTTGATGGCCCTCGATGGCCTCAAGTGGCCCTTAGGTCACATACAGAGCATATTGATTTTAATCAACATCAGTCAATTGTTTGATTACTAGTTGATTGTTTCGCATGTATTGTTGTCTAATTGTCAGGATTAAACTTCACAGTTGGTTATTCAAAGTAAATAAAGATTTTTTTTTATCCACAATTCTCACTATTAATAATCTTAATCACTGTAATTTCATTTGATTGTATTTCATTTACATTGATTATCATTGATCAGGTTTCAAATTTCAACTGATCGGAATCAAACTTATCGTTAATCTGTTGATTAACAATATCAGCAATCAAATTTGTTTCAACACAAAATAATAATTTTTGCCTTTTCATTTGAAAACTTATTGTTCAATCAGTTGATTAGCTTTAATTGTTGATTGATTCTATGATTAATTTAGCTAATTGTTGTTAGTAAATTTCCGAGAATTGTTTGTTTATGTTTCCGGACTATGTTGATTGATTGATTTTCATTAACTGTTTCTATCTATCTAATGTTAATTGTAAGAATTAAATTTCTTTGTAGTAAATTGTTTTTGTCAATTTGATCGTTTCTTCAATTCTATCAGATTGATTAACTTCAGTATCTTTAATCATACAAACTATCATTGATATTTTCAATCGAAAGTGTAAACTGATTGTTAATTGATTGTCATCTTAAGTAATCAAACCCAATCAGACAAATATAAGTATAATATAAATCAATCAAAGTGATTAAGTTAAGATCTATCAAAGAGAAACATATTAATAAATTGTTTAGAGTTCTAATCATTGAAAGTAATTCTTTTAATTGTGAACAATCAAAACAAACTATCATCTCGATGAATCTGATAATCGAGTCGTAAGAAAGAGTCACAATCAATAAGATTCCAAGCAATTCCTTCATTAGATTGGTGAACAATTAACTAATTAAGAAGGAACCAGATCGACTTACCCTCTTTCGGACATTTCGTCTTGTCTTAAAACCCCATCGGCGTCTCCCATGAGCGCGAACAACGTTTTGAGGCCACGTCCAGCGATCCCACAGGAATCACAAAGGCAAGTGGCCTCTCGACCGTACTCCCAAAGGACTCTATCGATCTTCGCAACTATTTAATTGTAACAATTTAAAGTACAATTAGATTGAAAAGGTATCCAAACAATTATCGAGTAAAAATGTAAATCTATTGATTTTTTTTTCTTCCAACGCCGATTCGTTTTCATGGTTAATTGTTTACGCTTTATCAGAATTAATTTGATTGTCATGGTTAAATTGAGTCTTTTCCTAATGTTAACTAAAACAATTAAACTAAATTGTCAACTCACTGGTACTAATTATTATTGTATTCATATATTAATTGTATTTGGTTGCTTTTTTTAATGTCTCATCGTAACTGAATCTTTGCTTAATTGATACTCTTAATTGTGTCATCATTTTTTTTTCTACAATTAATCAACTTCCTTGATTACTCTTCATCTCTCTCTCTCTTTATTGATTAATCTCTTTTCTAAATCATCTTAATCTCAATATACATAAATTAATCATCATCAACATCATCATCATCTTATGTCAATAGATAAACATCAACGTTAGATTTTTATTGCTCTTCAAATCAAATCACTGTAATTGAGGTTCCGATTTGAAATGATCCTAATTGTGTACACTATCATTGATTACTATTGTGGTTACAATCTTAATTATCTTCAACAATTACGCTTCATCAAAGTAATTAAGAAAAAGGAATCAACAATAAACTCTCAATCTTCTTTGGAGGATTAGATTTTTTTTTCTCTCTTTTTCCATTGAAACTTTGATTTACCTTCGAGATTTGATCTTTTATCTGTTACTCATTCTTCCGATTTGATGACTAATTTATTAATTTCTCTCTCCCTCTATTTACAATTAATAAGAAACGGTGCCAACAATTAACGTGTAACAATCTAAAAATAACAGTAAATTGTTAATAATCAATTTAATGCCTCAATTGATTGAAACAAATCAAAGGTATTGTATCAAAACAAAACAATGAGTTGTAACCCAATTGTTTAGTGTCAACTTGTTAAATTATGACAATTGAATTAATTACTAATTAATACCATGTCTTAACAATTAGCACTTCCATTGAGTAGATTATTAATCATTGTAGCTTGATGATTTTTCAATTAATTTACAGGTTATCACAACTAATTGATAGAGAAACAAAAAAAACAAGGAACTGATTATTAACAACTAAATTTAATTGGGCCTTAACTAACAATTAACTAATTCCCTTTGTTTTAAAAAGCACAAGAAAATTAATGCGCTCTCATGATCAACTAATTAACTAAGTTGAGGTTTACTAATAACTTTTATTAAGAATGAAAAAAAAAACTTCAAAGAGATCAAAGTAATTCTAGACTTCGGTCACTAATTAATGGTCTAAATTAATTTCTGTAAATTGGACAATTAACTCACCTTGTTCTGTAGTTAATAATTTATCGATATCACAAATGTTTGACGGGAAAGTCCGTCCACATTTCCGTGGTTCTATCCATGGATTAGGATAATTACTAACGGTCCAGGGTATCGAGCGATGGGCCAAATCAGATCGTTGACAATCAGCTAATTGTAAGAAAATAACTGAAAACACAAAAAACCACGAAAAGTAAGTTAATAAAAATTCACAATTAGGTAACATTTGTAAATCCTTTTGGTATTATTATTGATTATTTGTATTCAATTAGATGACGAAAAACAATTAAAACAATTTAAACTTTTGTTTCCTCTTCAATAATCAACAGGTTACACAGATGATTATTAAATTGATGATGTTCAATATTTATCGTTGTTGTTGTTGTGACTTTCTGGTTAACATGTGATTATCAAAGTAATTAAGTTACAAATGATTTTATCGTAATAATAATTAACTAATCATTGTGTGTGTGTATTCATTTAATCAAGAGTAGCATTAAAATGATGATAATAAATAAAAAGCTCGTAGAAAGTTAACCGACTGAGAGAGATGAAGAAACTGAGAGAAAACAATGGAAGAGAGAGAGAGAGAGAATTATCTTTATCTTCATTTGACTCCCTCATCCTCCTTCCTCTCTTACCTGTATCCCCATAAATATCATCATCATCATCATTTCTCATCCACTCGAATACTTAAATCTTGATATGGATCAAGATAAAACTACAGTTGATTGTAATAAATTTCAGCGACATTTCAACAGGTTTACTTAACTTTCATGATTAAAGAGACGAGACATTAAATTAAATCATGATTATCTTGATTAAATTCCTGATTAAATACTTAATTAAGAGTAGATCTTAATCATCTTGTAATCATGATTAAGAAAATGAACAATTTTCTTGTATAAATCTAATAAAAAAAAAACTTTTTCCTCAAAAAAAAAGTTTCGTCTCTATTTAGTCAAGTTTTCTGGTGACACACAAAATTTTAACCAATCAACTATTTGATTGTCCGTAATTACATTTAATTGAATTAAAATAACTTGCTGCTCATAATCAACAGCAACAATTAACTAATTGTATTTGATTAAGTTAATAGAATTGGATAGTGAAAATAATTTAATAATCTATTTATTGTGATTTATCATCAAAGGAAATTATCATTATCAAAATGGGAAAAACAAGTGATTATATTTACATTGGAGGCTTTTTTTATTACCAATGTAAACAATTAAGGATACCTGATGATAGTTACCTGGATTTTTTCATTTCCCTTTCTTTTTCTCTGTCTTTCTTTACCTATTCCACTTAATTGTCACCATCATTACCAACAATTAAGGAGCAATAAAGTGTTATATTGGTTAATCTAATGTGAATGACTTGTTACTCTCAATCTAATGTATTAACTTTCATCATCATGGTCAAATTATATTGTAAACAATTAAGCAAATTATAATAACACCTTTACAATTAACTGACCTCTCTCTCTCTCTTTGAATACAATTTACTAATTATTACAATTAATAACGATAATATTGCTGGTAAATTATGAAGGATAATTAATTATTTAAGGTGTATTATTATCAATACAATTTGACAGATGAAACATATTAATTTAGGACAATTTAGCTATTAATTTGACTAATTTAATGAGACCAGTACACAGATAATGATACAATTAAGTTTCTAATATTATGATTAAACTAATTGTCTGTTTACTTTAATGAGAAAACCTTGTTTATTATCAATTTTAACCATATGGTTAGATTATTGATTTAATGATTGTAATTAGATTTAAATTTATGAGCAGGACAAATGGTGGAAACAAATTACAATTTAGTTAATCAGTAAATTGATTAACTATTGGAAAATTTGAAACAACAAAAATAAATAATTAATAATTTATGGTAATTGAATTAGTTGATTAAATAATTGATTACTAATGAATCTTTTTAATGGCTAATTAATGTTCATTCATTGAAAATTATAGCATAGTAGTAGTTTGATTTATTGTTACACTTAAACAAATTAAATTGTATCAATGATTTAAAATCAATAATCAGGATTAATAATATTTCATATATAAACTGATAAAAATAGTAGTTAATTGAAAATCATTATTATTAATTAATTAACAATGTTTCAAATTGGGGGAAAAAAGTAGTAGTAGCAATATAAGTATTATTGTTGTTGGATAACAATTAGATGCACTTGAGATTTGATTAAATATATTAATTGTAATCAATATTGATAATAATTTTCCAATCAATTGAAATGATTTTCCAAAATCTTCTCGGTAACTTCCCAAGTTTTAACAGCTAAATCAAAATCGGAGGCAAGGCGACTTGTATTCATTGGTTTACAGTCCATGAAATGTTTCCCTGTAACTGAATCAAGAGATTTATCTGTAGCCAAGTAGATTAAAGTTTGAGCTCCTTGATCGGGTGTCCGAGAAATAATTGATTGGAAAGGTTTCATTAAGAAGGATAAAGTTGGTCCAGTTAGATCTCCGGCTAAATGAGTGTTAACTGGCCCAGGGCAGAAAGAGTTAACTGTGATGCCAAAATCTTTCAACATGGAACTTAAGTAATTAGTTGTAAGAATATTGGCCAATTTACTTTTAGCATAAACAGTACGAAAAGAGTAATTTTTTTCAGAATTTAAATTATCCAAATTTAAAGAGTAAATGAATCGATGAGCTGATGAGGCAGTGAAAATTATTCTACCAGGAGAACTTGATTTAACCAAAGGTAATAATAATCGAGTAAAAAGCCATGGACCAAAGTGATTTACTTGCATAACTTGTTCGAAACCATCGATGGTGACCTTTCTTTTAGGGTTACCGGCCATTCCAGCGTTGTTGATTAAAATGTCCAATCTATCAACCGATGAAAGTATTGTGGATGCACATTGACGGACAGATTGAAGTGAAGTTAAATCAAGATGAACGGTTAACACTTTGTTACTTGTAAATGATTCAATTTCTCGGGCTAATTGATTTGCCTGATCAAGATTACGACAGGCGAGTATTAGTTTAGCTCCACGTTTAGCTAATTCGATGGCAGTTGATTTACCAATTCCTTGGGTTGCACCAGTGATTAAAACAGTTTTACCTTCAACTTTATCATCGGTTGGACACTTAATCTTCTTGAAGGGATAAATAAAATAGAAACCATAACCAAGCATATCCCAAAAGTTGACCAGTAATGACCAAAAGCAGCCTTTTCTTTGTCTGGGTTCCATAATTACAGTTAGTTGATTAACAGCTTATACAAATAGACTCAAGTTTGGACGATGAAAAGGCAGAAAAAATTGATTAGTTGATTGTTACCAAGTTAACAGAGGGAAAAACAGAAAATGACTTCTAATACTTTGAATCAACAGTCACACTAACTCACAGGATGAATTATCTATTCTTCCAGATTATTCCAAAATGAATTGATTACAATCGAATAGAATTTTTTTTGCTTAACTGATTAAAGTAAAAAAGAAACAAATATTAACATTGAGAATTAAGGGTAATTTAGAATTGAAGAAGAAGAAAAAAAAAATGATTAGTTACAAACTGTTCTGAAAACATAAACAATTGACGTTGGAAATTCAAGTGACTTGTCAAACGAGTTTGAGATGATTATTAACACGAAAACTTGTTAACCTGTTGATGATTGAGAAAATAGAATTTGAAATTTGATAAAGAAAATATTATCAATATAATTAAGTTTAACCAGAGAAATTATTAAATTACAATTACAATTACTTTTCCAAGTTGAAGAAAATTGGATTCAACATTAACATGTGATTGGAACAAAGAGAAAAAGAAAGAGAATAGAAAGAAAAAAAGAAGAGCGCGTTTTTCAATTTGACCGAATTTCTTTTAATTTAATTCTTACAATTAACTTGATTAATTACAATCTATTCAAATCTCAAATTACTTATACAATTTGATTATCAATTCTCTCAATCAAGTGCAAGGTGAACGGAAAGTACAACAGTAAGAAAAGAACGAGAAAATTAAAGCAAATCATTAATTCTAAAAGTTGATTAACATGTTTAATCATCGATTTTTTTTCTAACAATTAGAACTTTTTTTTTGTACAATTTAAATGTTAATTAAGAATTCAAACATAATCTGGTTAATATTAAATTGATTCTGATGGGAATAGTGATTTAACTTATCTCTTTTTTGTGAATTTTTTTTTTCATGGATAATTGTTACAACTAATTTTTGTTTTCTTTACTTGTATCAATAGCTTTTGAATTAACGTACAATTAGTTAATTGTTGGTTGATTATGATAACAATTATTGAGCGGATTTACTTTAAAATGATGAAGACAATCATTTTTGGGTTAAAACTAAAATTGTAAAATACAAATTGTTAGAAAGTTACAATAACTACATAATAATACGATTTTCTTTGATTACATTTACTAATTCATTGATTAATTGAAGTTAATTTAACTGTTGTGAAGAATTAACATAATTGAAGTGTTTTTTTCTATCGATTTGGTTTGTTTATTGTTAATTATTATTAAACGAAATGATTAATAACATTTCGTAATTTATAACGGGAAGGACTTCATTTATAAATTGAAACGTTCAAGTTCATTTCTTTGCTCGTTTTTTTTTTGGTTTCTTGATGGTCAGTTGTGGTCATTGCTGCTTAAATCTGTCTTCTTATCTCGTATATCTAACTAACTACAATTTGTTACAATCGTTTGTCACTTTATACAGTTATTTGTGTATCTCATTTATACTCTTATCATGTTTCTCCTCTTTCTTAGCTTGGGCTGTTAATTGTAAATGACTTTTAATTAATCGTTCGTCTAAAGGTCCAACAACATAATTCGAGGATCCTCAACGGTGGCCTTAATTTTCCGTAAAAATGTAACAGCTTCCCTTCCGTCAATGATTCGATGATCATAGGTTAAGGCTACATACATCATGGGTCTAATCTCAACCTGAAAAGGAAAGAAAATGGAGAAATAAAAAAAAATTCAAATGAGAAAATTTGATTATCTTTTGATTAGAGGAATTAAATTACCTTTCCTTTGATTGCCATAGGTCTTTCCACGATAGCATGCATTCCTAATATAGCTGATTGGGGAGGGTTAATAATGGGTGTACCATAAAGAGATCCGAAAACTCCGCCATTACTGATTGTAAAAGTGCCACCATCCATGTCTTCAATAGCTAAAGCATTGTTTCGAGCCTGAATTTGATTGAAAATTTTAGATAATTTAAAATATATTTTCATACTGTTATTATTATTGGAAACTAACCTTATCTCCCATATCGGAAATTGCCTTTTCTATTTGGGTATAATTCATATTTTCAACGTTTCGGAGGACAGGTACGACTAAACCTTTTGGTGTTGCAACGGCAACAGAAATATCAATGTAGTCACGGTAAACGATATCTTGATCATCAATTACAGCATTTACAATTGGTTGATCTTGTAAAGCATAAGCTGTTGCTTTCACAAAGGCTGACATAAAACCTAACTTTAGATTGTGTTTCTTTAGGAAAGCATCTTTGTATGAGTTTCGCAGTTCAATAGCATTGCTGTAATAAGAGTTAAAATTGAAACATTAGATTGGGATGGAAAATGATTGTGAGCGAGAGAAAAAAATGAAATTTCGTTTTTCACCTCATGTCAATTTCATTGAAAGTTGTCAACATAGCATAAGTGTTTTGTGCATCTTTAAGACGCTGGGCGATTCTTTGTCGCATTCTATTCATTTTGACTCGATGTTCTGTTCGGTTGGGTCCTAATATTCCAGGCACTTCTGTAGCAGAGGTTGGTGGGGTGTAAGAGAAAACTGGTGTTGAAGTTAAAGGAGTTGACGGCTTTGGTGGAACTGGAGGTGGTGTTGAAGGTGCAGAGAAAGATGGTTGAGATTGTGGTGGTGGTGGTGGCGGTGGTGGAGAAGGTGATGATTCAGCTTGAGCAGCTGATTGGGTTGACTCTTTCTTAGCACCACCAGTTGCTCCAGCTTTGATCTTGAAAATAGGTTGACCAGATTTGATGGCAGTTCCATCCTCGACAAGAAATTCCTCAATAACACCAGCATAAGGTGAATTTATTGGAACTGTTGTCTGAAAAGGTAATAACGATAATAAATACATATGAGATTCATAATATTTACAAAAAAATCAAAGTATATAACCATCAAGTAGCTTATATTTTTGAAGAATATACCTTGTCTGTTTCAACCTCGGCAACAAGTTCATCCTCAGCAACCGTATCACCAACAGCTAAGAAAAGATAAAAGTTAAAAAAAATTATTAAAACGCCAGTTAAATAAAGAAAAAGAAGAAGAGAAAATCAAGATATATATCATATGAAATGATTGAATTAATCTTACCTTTTTCCCAACGAATGTCACCTTCACTAATAGATTCAGCAAATTGAGGAGCTGTGACAGTTTTTACCTCATCATCTGATTATTTTTAAAAAGAAGTTAATAAGAAGAAGGAAATAATCATTAATACAAATTAACAAGCCAATTACTAAATAGTAACAAAATTGCACAACCAAGGGACTGAGAGAAAGAAAAAAAACATACACAATGGCGAACCGGTATGGAAAGGTCTTCTCAATGACAAATTAGAATGTATTTCCTCGCAAGTGAATTTTTGCTGGAAACTGGAGATGAAACGTTGTTTACACTGTAAAGATAAAGATGAAGTTGATAATCGAGCAGAATTAGAATAACCAGAGACAATTTTTCCACTATAATGTCGAGTTCGTTGAAGGTATGTCACCAAACGACCACATTTAGTCAACATTTTGAAAGAGTTTTGTTCAATTTCTTCACCAGGTCAGTAAGAATATAAGAATCAATAGAACACAAAATAGAATTGAAAAAGAACAAAAACAAAAGGAAGAAAATGTTAAATTCTACTCCAACTAAAAACTAACGAACATTCAAAGATACAAAATTACAAATTTTGTAGAGCCGAACAATTAATAAATTCCAACAAATAAGATAATATAAATTAATAACAATTAAAAGAGAGAAAAAGATAAAATTTAAACAGCTGAGAAAAAGAAATGAAATCAATGAGCCGACGTGGAGAAAATGAGCTCCATCTGTTGGAGAAGAGAAAAACTACCAGATGGAAATTCTATTCTCTTTTTTTCTGAGATCAGAATGAGTAATGAGTTTGTTGGTGTTTTTCTTTGGTTCCAATCGCCACGTTTTTTTTATGCTCTGTAATTAATTAATTAATATTACATTTTAATTTTGTGTCTCTACTTAACCATTTGGGTAGAAAATTGTATCTTATTTACTGTTCTGTGTTTTTATTTTGAAACATTGTTGATGAGACTTTTGAATTTGGTTTGAAAGAAGAAAAGTGAGTGAAAGAAATAGAGAGAGAGAAAGAGAGAAAGAAACATTGATTGTGTGATCTTCTCTCTTCTTGTTTGTTTTTTTTTCTTCTTCTTTTGAATAAGTTACATAGGAGATGGATAATAACACCATTGATATGTCTCAAGGAAATAGTAACATTGACTCAAATATGGAGGTACATAATAGACAATCAAGTATTGACAATGAAGCTTGTGGTATTCGTGATGTTTGGGCGAAAAATTTATATGATGAATTTAAAGTGATACGACAATTGATACAAAAGTATCCTTTTGTTGCAATGGATACAGAATTTCCCGGTGTTGTGGCTAGGCCGATTGGTGAATTTCGATCCTCATCTGATTATCAATTTCAATTATTACGATGTAATGTTGACCTATTGAAAATTATTCAATTAGGTTTAACCTTTCTAGATGAAAATGGTAAAACTCCACCTGGTTATAGTACATGGCAGTTTAATTTTAAATTTAGCTTATCGGAGGATATGTTCGCCCAGGATTCCATTGAGCTGTTACAAAATTCAGGAATTCAGTTTAAAAAACATGAAGAAGACGGAATTGACCCGCTTGATTTTGCTGAGCTTCTCATCACCTCGGGAATTATTTTAAGTGATGAAGTTAAATGGCTTTCGTTTCACAGTGGCTACGATTTTGGTTATCTACTCAAAATTTCAACCGATTCCAATTTACCAACTGATGAAACTGAATTTTTTGATCTTCTCCGTGTATACTTTCCAGCCATTTATGATATAAAGTATTTAATGAAAAGTTGTAAAAATCTCAAAGGCGGTCTCCAAGAGGTAATAATCTTATGACCTTAACTATTTGTTAATCTCTCCTCTTTAATCCTTTTCTCTTACTCTTTATCTCTTTCTTTCTCTCTCTCTCTCTCCCTTTTTGTTTAACTGTTTTGTTCCTGATGAATCTACTCTTATCTAATCTTTAATTTTTTCAAATTACTTCTAGATTGCTGACCAATTAGAATTACAAAGAGTCGGCCCTCAACATCAAGCCGGCAGTGATAGCCTATTAACCGGAGCAGCCTTTTTCAAAATGCGAGAAATGTTTTTTGAGGATAATATCGATGATGCTAAATATTGTGGACATCTTTATGGTCTTGGAGCATCTTACGTTATGAACGGTAACTGTTTCCCCGAAAATAGTACGGGTAAAGTGGATCATCATAATTTTAACAATTGCTCAAAAGACGATGATATAACAAATGCATGAGATTAAGCAACAACAATGAATACAAATGTCAACCAGATGATTTTACAAACAAACAAACAAACAACAACAAAAAACCACAAAAAACACAAAACCAAACCAACCCGAAGAAAACAAACCTTACCCTTTACTTATATATTTGCTTTTACATGAATGATGAATTTACATTTAAAACGATTATCAATTAAAAAAAAAAGTTTTTTTCTCTAAAAAAAATAGAAAAATACAATGAAAAATCAAACTTAAATCACAAACTGTCTCTTCTTAATTCTTAAATCCTATGATTAAATTAAGAATAACATAAAAATTAATTGAATTCCCTTCAATTTTTATCGGAAATTTTTCCAATTTTCATTCATCGAATCCACTAGATGGCGACTTGAGTTATTGACGAATTTTCGTGGAAAATGTGCTGCCATCTGTTGGAGAGAAAAGTAAATTTTTCGGATTATCAAACTTTTCACATTTTCGTTAATCTTCAACTTAATCCCAACGTACGAATTTAAGAAGAAAAGATTCACATGAGAAGGGGAAAAGTCAATCTGATTTTCTAATTTTTCCTTACTTCCCTTGGATCGTCTTATAATTGTTTCGAAAAATAAGCTCAACGATCTAAACGATAAAAAGGTTTCCTTCTAATTTGTTTCTTCCTTAATCGTCTTCCTGATTACGATAATTTTAGATGAGAATCTTGTAAGAGAGAAAGAGAGAGAGAGAGGGAATGATTTTCTTCTTGACAAATGACCATTTACCTTTTTCTTTATCTTCTTTGTGATATGAAAGAAAAGAAAGAGAAGATAATTGTGAGAGAACATGAATTTCTTGATAAAGAGATGAAAGAAACAAGATTAAGATTAGAGACTCGATTGTATATCAATTGATGATCATGAGTTTTTGGCTTCAATTGATATTATTTGAATGAGTAGGTTGTCGAAATGACAAAACGTCAAAAATTATTTTCGATAACATGAGAAAGAAAAAAAAAATAAATAGAGAAACAACTTAACCAATAATCATTAGTTTCATTTTTAATCAATAACTTTAATCTTGTTTTTACTCGTTTAAAACATTGATCACAATTTGATTGCACTTTCATATAACTGATGTTGTTGTTTTAACTGTAATAACAATCTGTTTTGATGTATTGACAAGTAGATAGCAAATATTAGATTGATTTAATTAGTGGAAACGATTGTGATCAGATAAATGACAAAGAATACAAAACTTTTCATCTGAAGTTCTGTAAGTTTTTGCTCACAAATAAAAACTCAAGATTCGGATTAAATTATCAACAGGATGAATATAAGCTTGAGGGATAATCTAAAACGCTTCAGTCAAAGTGGAGATTATCACCAAATCCAAATCTCTCTCTCTCTCTCTCTCTCTTCGACGAGGGTTTTGTTTTCATTCATATTATTCGAGTATTGGCAATGGACCAATGATGCCATTTTCGAATAGATCTCATAGCTATAGGTGGATTAAGGTTCTCTGATTTAGCAACAATAATATCTTCTTATGGATGATTGTAAGTTGTATGAAGGCGGAAACTTGAAGGTGATTATTGAATCTGTGGTAATGATTTATGTATCGAACTCAATGAAACATGTATCCTGACAATTAATTGGTTGATAATTAATTAATTCTCTTAATCCACCATCATTCTTAAAAAAGATATTTGAAGACTGAGGAGATTCTCGACTACTCGATTGGTGTCTTATTAGATCATGGAGGAAGTTTATCCTTATGAATTTACCATAAATTCAATCCTCAGAATCTAAATATTTACATGTTACAGTTTTTTAGATTAACAAATTGATGTAACAACTTTTGTTGATTGTTGATTATTTTCATGATCAATTAAGTCTAATGTTTATTATAATAATCAATATAAACATGATTACTTGTTGATAGTAAGAATGTGGATGATGATCAAGATGCTGAAAATGATGATGCTGATGATGATGATGATGATAAACAGTGACCATTGAAATAGTAACTTGAGTTAATCTGTCATCATGTTAATGTTTTTAGTTGCTGCATGTAAATAAAATGAAAACATTTAATTGAATGTTTATTGATGTTGATTATGGTTCTGATTCTAATTGTGATTGTGATTCAGATTGTGATTATTGATTAAAAGTCAAGGATCAATACATTCTGACTTATGTCCATTGTTTATCAAGTTTGTATGAGGATGATACTGATACTGATGTTGATGATTGAATGAGTTGACATTGAACATATAATTAATTATAATTCAATGTTGTCCAACTTTTCATGATAAATATCATAAATATCATCCATTCATTGATTTGATATGAAAAACAATTATCACTGTTTCAACAATAGTAGTAATGAATTAATAAAATTACAGGTTATCAGTGGGAGGATCTGATGACCAGATTACATTTTACTCGAGATGGACAATAAATAGAATCCATTTATTTATAGATCAAATCAAAAAGGTCATAATTACAATTAAGGACTCGATCTTCACTCTTCTACTGTCATAACCTCAACCAACAATCAACAAGGAAAAGTGAAGAAAAAGGAAAAAATCATCAATCAAATGAATCAAGTAAATCACAATTAAAATTAAATCTGTAACTAAATTGTCATTTAGTTAAACAAAAATGAGACAAAATGATTATAATGAGTAGACAGTAATTGTAACGATTATGATGATTAGTTAAATGATGAATTAAATCTCATGAGATTGAGAAAAAGAGAAAAAGAAACAAAAACAAAGGTAAACATTTTTCTCTCTCTCTCTCTTCCTCTTTCTCATCTTCATCTTCATCTTCATCTTCATCTTCATCTTTCTCACCTTTACACTAACTACTTCTTACTACTACAAACTCACTCCTTGTCTTTCATCCTCATCCTCTCTCTCTCTCTCTCTCTCTTAATCCTTTTCATCATCAATCATTCATGAAGAAAAGTGACTATTTCAAGATTAAATTTAATTACCTTGGAATCGAATTCACCAAGGAAGTTTAATCGAACTATAGAACCGAATTTACTTTCATCACAAGTTCGAGACTATTTTTCGAAAAATTTGAACTTGTTTAAGTTTTTTGTTCTTCAGGGTAAATTACTTTTGTACGAATTTATGTGCTCTGATGCAGCTAAGTTTTTTCGTTCGATGTTTAATTTCTTGTAACAATCATAATTATCGTTGTTTGATTGTTGTTATTGGATCAAGATGATGCTCGTTTGTGTCAAAATCAATGGAAACATAAATAACTCAATTTAATTGTTAAATTATCATTAGTTAGTCTTTATGATTTGCACATTCAGTTGATTTCTCATGTTGATCTTTTTGCGGTTTTTTCTCTTCTTCTTGTTGTTATTATTTGGCTTGTATTTTGTTAACTTTAATTTGAAAACATAAACAAAATGCTGATAATAAAAAAAGAGATCAAGTTAAACTTGTCACTTTTAATCTGATTGTATTCAAGTTAAATCCAAAGATTATCAATGAGCATCAATGACAACATGCAGACAAAGACAATGATTTACTCTCTCTCTCTCTCTCTCTCTCTCTCTCTCTCTCTCACTGTGAAACAATAATAATAAAGTTAAACTGAAACTCAGGTAAAGTAACATGTTAATACTCAAGGATTATCCACTTGTAGAGACTCAGTGGGATGTGATCATCACTTTCAATACAATCAAATGGGATAATAAACATCATCTTCATCATCTTCATCTTCATCTTCATTATCTTTCGTATGATTATCAGTGATGACCAATGATAATCTTCATGTGTGTCTTTGTAACAAATTAATTAAGACATTACCTTACATTGATTCATCGTATCTATCGGAATGCGTATAAAATTAAATCACTAATCAAAAAACAACGACCAATGGACAACAACAGACAAACATCATCATCATCATCGTCGTCGTCATTGTAACAACAACGATCAACGATCAACAATCAACATGGAAATATTTAAACATAAAACTGTCCATAATGTTGACCACCATTAGTGTCAAACAAAGATGAAACTTGTAACCTTAAGCAAGAGGCCAGAAAATAAAGTTATTAATATGTGTGAGTGACCGATCAGGTTGAATGTTATTCTTGTTGTTAATAGTTGGACTTATAAAGGTAGAAAGAAAGAGAAAGAGAGAGAGAGACAATTGAATATATTGAGACATAATATCATCACGATAATAATCATAATACAAGCAATTAGATATGGTGTTAGGTTTTCTATAACATTTACTGGTCAACCTTTTGGTCAACAACATTATATAAGAAGCCAACACAACAACTACACCAAGAAACTGACAATTGAAGGGCAAAAATATCAAGGTAACAACTTTTTTCGCTTCTTCTTCTTGACTGACCATAATTGTTTGTACATAACATTTGGTCAAGCTTAATAGGGAAGAAAAAGAAGAAGATAAAAATGAGAGAGAGAGAATAAAAAAAAAGAAAGTTGTAAACATCACTTTCTTTATCTTCCTAATCATCATTAGTAGCATGTTTAAAATGTTTTATCCAAAGAGATTAAGATTTGTCTCTCCGATTACTACATTGAAACTAATCCTCATCAAGTTGAGTTTATTTTTCCCTTCACATTCAATTTGAAGGTTAATTAATTTAAGTCATGCAATTGAATCGGTCATCTCTTGATTAGCCAACACTCAGTATAAAACAAAACTAACCATCGTCCAGTCATTGAAAATTAACGTTCAATTGATTATATTGAACGAAAAAATTTCAATGATTTACTTGTGAGAAACAAAATAACTAAATTAATCCATTGAAACAATAACATGATAATTGCAACGCTAAATTTAAATCTCAGCATTTGATTAAGATTAACATGATAATATTATATAAATTCAACTCTCATGATCAGTATTATAATAATAATACAAATGATAATATACAAAGTTTGATCAGTTATATTAAATTTTTAGCTTACTATTTAGTTAATCCAATTACTCATGGTGGTGGTTGCTAATAAATTATCAGTAAAACTATAATTAATCAATGACATGATAATAATCATGGTAATCATGATAAACATGATAATTACTGTGTTGATAAAGTTTTAAAATGTTAAAACTTTAAATATATCGTCATGATACTTGGGACTGTGAATGTGTATGAGTAACATTTAAATACGTTATTGATGTTGCTACTAATACGTTGAAACGTCACATAACAAATGTCACCATGATATGTAAATATTATAAATGTAATTTCACGCCTTGGGTATGAAAA